CAATGTCCCATCTGTAGTTTGAAGGACACACCCCTGAGCACAAAGTTCAATTTATTAAAAAAAATAAAACTAAATATATATTGAAAACTTCGTTCTTTGTTAAAAGCCATGCAAAAAGTTAAAGTACACATTAGAAGATACATGTTTAAAGATTTTTTAAATACCTAACGATAATTGAAAATAGCTCAATAGTTATATTTCTATTCAATATAAATTATTCTTAAAGGACTTAAAAGTGATGAAGTAACTGTAATTAAAGGCGGCTGGTTGCTAATCTTACCTGGGAGCGGGTGAACGGCATGTTTGTCCTGTAGAAGTGGTCTAAATCGCCCGATAAAGCAGCTCACCGTGCAGCAGCAGCTCAGCAGCGAACAAAGCAGGACTTGCAGCTGCAAGCAGCCACACACCGTTCATTTCCCGCGCCACCGTAAGGTCCTGGAAGCTGCATAGTAATATTCAGCAAGTTGTATCAGCCTAAAATAATAAATATACTATTATGGACGTTTAAATGAACACTTCGTTATAGTTTTACTGTTTACTTTTGCGCAATGTGTATTTAAGTTCTGATATGTTTTTGATCAACGCATTAACCGCGGGTTTTGTTATGGAACTTCCGCGTTCCTGCTAGTGGCGCGAACATATCGCTGCTTAATTAGCATACAAGGCGCGTAAAAACGTTGTGACCCCATCCAAGTTACCGGGTTTCATGGTAAAAAAAAAAAAAAAAAAAAAAGGTTTATGAGGGGTGACTGTTAAATGTAGACATTTTTCTGTGTTGATGAACGCTATGTAGGAAACATGCGGTTCTTACATAAGAGAATATTCTGGTTAAAAAAAAAAAAAGCTGAGGTGTTTTTCAAGCTGTTCAAGGACTTTCTGACTTTTGTAAAGTAAAACTAACACAACAGAACTGTGATATTTCACTTTAAACATCAAACTGAGAGCAATATATCAACATATATGGTATCAGTATGTTTTCTGATAACCAGGAATGGGTCATGATTCAAACACTTCCAGTGTTTTTAAGCAATCAATAAGTGCAGTGAAGGATTTTGTTTGTTGTTCAAAGAGAATAAAGTGTGAAACAGTACAATGGCTTTTAAAGTACTCATACTTAAGCTACTTATTACTTTAATATGGTCGAAATTAATTAGCCATTTTGTCTTTCATGTTCTTTTCTACTCTGATTTAAACTTTTGAAATTGAATTTGTTTGATGATTTAATGTTTTTTTCATGAGGCATCTGTTCTGTATGTGGCCATCCTCTCCTGTTTTGTTTTGTATGTGGAATGTCTTGTAAGCCCGTATCAGCTGGGCACCATGGTGCATGGCATTAAAAAAAGCAAATCACAAATCTTAGCATATGAGGGGAAAAAACCCCAGAAAAACAAGTGCTTTTGTTAAACAAGAAGCCTTACTTTGATATGAAATGTCATTGTGCATGGCTGATCAGTGGTGCAGTGGGTAGCACTGGTGCCTTGCATCAAGAAGGTTTTTGGTTTGCTCTCCCTGAGCATGCACAGGTTTTCTCCGGGTACTCTGGCTTCCTCTCACAGTCCCAAAACATGTCTGTTAGGAAAAGAACCTGTGATGGACTGTGGACCTGTTCAGGGTGTACCCCGCCTCTCACCCATGACAGCTGGAGATAGGCACCAGCCCCCTCATTACTCCACCTGCGATTAAGTATGTCAGAATATGGATGGATGTCGATGTGCATTTTTCTGGTGTTTAATTGGGGAGTGGCAGTCTAGTGATTAGGGAATAGAGTTTGTAATCCTGAGATTCTGAGTTTGACCCTTAATCCCAAACTGCTCTGGGAGACTGCCATTGTGGGGCTGCCATCGCCCACTGCCCACTAAATTTCTCCAACATGAGATCAATAAACTTCAATTATTATTATTATAGTTATACATGCCTGTTCTTTATTTATTTAAGATACCTACAGTATGGTGGATTGAGTAACAAGAAACTATACTCAAGTAGGCACAGTAATACTTCCAGTGAAAGTAGAAGCTAATATTTAAACTGTGCTGCAGTAAAACTACTCATTTAAGTAGTTTTTTTTGTTTTGGAAATTGTTACTCAAGTATATGTAACTAAGTAAATTTAACTAGTTACTATTCACCTCTTTTAATTGATCATTTATTTTTAACAATGGACCATACTAGCCTGCCTTGCAAAAGTAGGGGGTGGGGGTGTTACAAGCCTGAGATTTTAATCCAGGTCCTACTTGCTGCAAGGCAACAGTGCTGCCAACTTTTCCACTATGCAACATATAAACCTTTAAAAAACTGATATACAAACAAAAAATGTGAACCGTGCAATAAGGTAATTACAAAAATCTCACAATTAACATGACTGTTTAGAACTCACCATTTTAGCTCAATAAAAAAATCATTAGACTTTTACACACCAAGTAGCTAGAGCATGCTAGTACATATAACCATTCATTACCCTGCAATTTATCTAGTATTACATCAGGATATTATGATATTGCTGTTATTTTCTTCACATTAGGGCAGGGTTTATGGTGTTGCAGCTGTTAGCACTTTTGCCTCTCAAGGATAGGTCCTGGGATTTAAATCCCAGCAGGAACCCCTGGCTTCCTCCACCATGCATGTTAGGTTAATTGGCCCTGATAAACTGCCCCTTAGGTTGAATGGAGGTACCCCCAGCTCTTGACATCCTGATGAGCACAATCCCACAGGCAGATTTAACAGATAAAAAAAAAACACAAAAAAAAAAAAAAAAAAAAAACAGATGGATCATTCACTTCAGGTGAAATAGTCATTCAAATTATGGATTATGTTTTTAACTAAATGTTGTAAAAAGCAGCTGGATGTTGGTTCAAAACCCAATATCCAACCACTTGTGTTAGCTCAACCTACAGGGTTAGCCAAATCCCCCTCCTTGGGTTGTTTATAATATAGAAGGCTTAATAGGAAACTGGATTATGGGAAAACAAAAGCTCACATTTTACTGAAATGAGTAGGGTTCTACTGGAACCAAGATCTGGTACCAGGGGCCTGTTTCAGAAAGGAGGTTAAGTGAAAACTCTGAGTTTGTTAACCCTGAAATGAGGGAAATTCTGGGTTTTCTGTTTCAGAAAGGGAGGTAAGTTAAACCTGAGAAAGCAGAGTAAGTCAAGCCCGTTTCTGAAAGAGAGGTAACTTATACTCAGAGTCAGTTACCATGGCAATTTACTCTGTGAACCTAACCTGGTCGGGAGCAGGTTTTCTTCAGAAAATCCAGAGTTTATTTTGGTCTCCTCCCCTTTTTTAAAGAGGAAGTGGTGTTTAAACACCTCATTGATTCTTTGGGGACATACAGTATTCATTGCACACATTTCAGTCACGTAGAGCGCATCAAAGGGAATGAAATGGCATGTCCTTTTATGGATGATCCTGTTTGTAAAGCCACATAGCTACTCTACTCCCATGATGTGCTCAAGGCTTACCTGCATGAAGTATGTTTTTATATTTCATTTTCAGCTGCTGCCATGTTCTTTTGATGCCTGCAGGATTGCACCTATCCATGAAAACTAAATTAGGTTTAATAAAATACTGTTCTTCCAGTTTCACCTCTGATATTATAACAGTTGGGTAAGTTACTCTAAAATAGTTCTTAATTACTAACTACAAATTTTATCTTCAACAAGTCTAATTAGATTAATGTAATAATTACTGTCTCTAGAAAGTATTGGTCTACTTACTAATTTGTTTTACTTACTTATTAATTACTTTCTAAATCCCAAATCAACCTCAACCACTTGAACAATACAAGGAGAGACAAGAAACTGCACTTCTAATGCTTTCAAATAAACAATATTCAATTGCATGAATTAATCTTAAATTGACCAAAGTGTGTAACTAGAGGGAGAAAGTTCAAATCAAAATATACCTTTTAAAAATTTGATATTAAATCCACTATTTTTTTATAGTCTTTAATTTAATTACAGTATTTATATGACTTAAGTAACTTAATTCATTACACCCAACACTGTATAAAAGTAATTAAAATGTAAACTTACGCATTGACTCGAGCAGCTATTTTCACCCAAGCTAACTCTCTCTCCTTCGCCGCTGCAGCCGTGTTGCTTTTTTTTTTTTAAATACATGTTCAAATTCTGCATATGCTTGCATAAGCACATCCAGTTCTGCTGGTGAGAAATATGCACACCTTTTTTTGTCTGACGCTGTTGCCATGGTGACTCGTAATATCTGTGCTCCATTGATAATGGCTTTTTATAGTTGTGGTGCACACGCTTAACTCAGAGTCAGTCAATTTAGAGTTGATTGAACTAACTCATTTCAGCTGTTCTGAAACCCAAAACTCAGAGTTTCCAATCTCAGGATAAGTCAACTCAGAGTTCAAGTTTTAACTCAGAGTTGGTTGAACTTCCTTATTGAAACAGGCCCCAGGTCTTGGGTCTGGTGTTGTTCAGTATGAATAGATGGGTTTCTAGGCCTGAGTACTTCTAATTTTATGATTTACTTGTTACATACATAAAATGAGTTTCAAAAATAAGAAAAACAGGAAAAGTTCAGATAAAAATGTAGAGGATGGTGACAATTGTGAGGAAGTATAGAGAAGGCAAGCTTTCAGAAATGGTCTGGGTCAATGGAAGCAAGCTGTGTAGAAAATTCATTCAAAAATCTCTGCCCAGAGCTGTGTTTATAAAATTAAATGTGTTTAAAAAACACAAGGACAAAAAACATGAGAAACTCCAAAACTTTTTTAAAAATTTTACTTTGGTGTTTTGTTTCCATTTGCATAAAACCAGTTATAAATACCTTTTTAAAACTAATCCATTAGTGAATAGCATCTTTAATTCAGCCCATAAACTAAAATTAATAAAAGACTTAATTATCTGTTTGGTGTAATAATAAATACATTCATAGCCCAAAGACATGTTTATCTAAAAAGGAAGATATAAAAGTAGTTGAAGCTTCACTGGTATGCCCCCAATCCTCAGTGTGATTCTCTTTAAACATCCTCTCATAGAAGAAGCTGCTGAGGTCCACATTATAATCTTCCTCCAGCACCACGTCCTCCCCGTCCTTCTCTCCTCCCCCGACCTCTGACTGGTTTAATATCTTGTCGGGTTGTTTTTTTGTGTCGCTCTACTTTAATCCACCCTCCATCACTGGCTTTGCCCACCTCTTTTTCTTCACTGGGGTTTCCTGTCACAGACCATATACCTGGTATCAGCGGCGGGCGACTCTGTGGCGTGATGCTGTAACTGTTTGATCGAGGCCTCCCTGGCTGCCGTGAACCTTTTCCACTCTTACTGCTTCCTCTGTTGTTTGTCCACCCTTGCCACCTCCCCTGCCCGCCTCCCACTGCTAGCGTCTTGCTGTTCCTCCGTTGTTCGTGCATGCCTCCAGCACTGCGAGGGCGCTCCCGCTCTGATGTGCTCTCTGAGGTAGTGCTGGAAGGACTGCTACCCTTTGACCCGAGGTTGAGCGGCAACAGTTTGGCTGACAGACTGGCGGTCGGTGAGGAGCAGCGAGAGTCGCTCCAGGGAGAGGGGCGGAGGTTGTTTGGAGATCTGCGCACGGCGGCGGCGTATGAAAATGCCTGGCTTTCATGGGCAGAGAGGAACTGAGGAAGAGTTTGGGCATCAGAGCTGTTCAGACGAGTCGTCCTCTGCTGTGACTTCTGGGTCATCATGTGCTTGTGCCTCACATCATTCATCCATGCAGGATCGAAATCTTAAATAGATCATACACCAAGTACTTTAAGTAGTGTTTAATTGGTTAAAACAACATTTTACCCTTTAAAGAATTGAAGACACACTTACTACAGTTGATTTTGTCTCTGGGGTCCACAGTAACTGGAGCTGTTTCTATGACCAGCTCTACGTTTTTAATCTCATCCTGTCCGCCGCTGTGGGTCCACACTAACAGACTGCTGTGTCTAATCGACTTTGGTGACTTCACATCATTCTGATGGATCACAATTAAAACAAAAACCAGTTTAACATTTTTACTTCCACAAAGAATTAGGGGTTAGATTTTGTTTTCTTAAAGCATTCAAAGACTTGCCTCAAAATTGACTGTATATTCTATTTTCTGGTTCTGTTCCAATCCAACAATCCATTTATCCATCAAAAAAGGTGGCTGCAAGAGAAATATCATATGTCAAACATTTGATTGTTACGGAGACAATATCTCCATTCAGGTTAATTTACAATGTCTTAAACTTTGACTTTTCAATTAAGGTAATATGTTTCTTGAGAGGTTTAAAGTAGGGTTAAAGGTATAGTGGAGGATGTTATTTTTCCGGGTACCTAATCAAAATAATTTGTCCTGCTAAGTGTCAATCATTCTGGTGATATGTTTACATAAGGCCCTCCTACGTGCTCGTCCCCATTTTCACTACCAGTGGTGAGTCTGACATAGTGGAAAACTTGCAAATCTTCTTTTGGAAAGTAAGCTTGTATGAGCGATGCAAACAACAACTTTTAAACAGAGCATGCACAAGGAGAAATGGGATTGTGCACGCTCTTGCATGCATTTAATAGGCGTTCCCTCTTGGGAGCAGGTACAGGGTTGAGCATGTGCATTTTGTTTTTTAATGGAGAGGGCGGGTCTTTTCAAAAATTTGCATAAATCCTCCACTATACCTTTTAGGACATTATAAACAGACACTGTTCAACCCACCATCTAACAATGAAAAATGAAATGGCACTACAGCAAACTAACAAGAAATGGTCGTCCACCTAAACCAAAAGGCAAGGCAATGAGAGAAATCATTATAGGGGCAGCAATGAGACCCATGTTAACTCTGAAGAAGCTTTAGAGATCAACAGCTCAGGCTGGTGAATCTATTGAAAAGACAATTATCAGCTGTCAAAGCTATAGGAAGTTCAATTAGCAGTTTACCACAAGCAATAAATGTTTGGAATATGAATTAGAGCTAAGACCACCAATCAGGCAGGATCATGATGTGGAAATGCTTTTCTTTTTGACTTAGTTTGCTTGGAAGATAATGATTTAAACAAAAGCAGCAGCTGAAGTGGAATATTTTATATTAAAGCACATCCATGAAGTCAACCCCTGTACCTGACTGAACATTTTTGGCTAATCGATAAGAAGTATAAGCCAAGATGTAAAACTTGTGAGCCCAAAAAAAATCCTACAAAAGAAATAACAAAGAAAGAAGGGACTGAGAAGAGCTGAAAACATCATAGGAAATCCAGAAATATGTCCAATATCATCGGAGTATAATTTAAAATAAAAGAATGATTTTCCTTTTGATACCCTAAATAAATGTACCAGCTTATGCAAAAAGAATCCATTATGGTAGTTTCAGAGTTAAGAGCTGCAAAGAAGGAATTGCCTAGATACCTCTAATATTAACACAGAAGATCATTATGAATTAGATGATCGAGAACCTGACATACATTTATTAGTAAATAGGAAAGGCAAGAAGAGAGCTGCACAACCAAAAAAAAAAAACTTCTTTTTTTTGTCCATCAACACCTTAGTCATCCGCAGGACTTCTACATCTGGTCTGTTGGGATTAAAGATGACATCTTTGATGTAGGTTACAGCAACCTCATCTCCATCAAGCTCCATGTACATTTTCCATTTGCAGTCCTGGAAAGAAAGGAGATAGCAGGGAGATAATGTACCTCTGCTTCACATGCATGACAAAGTTTCTAATTACACCATTATGTTGAGGAGGAAATTACTTCTTCTTCAGCATAAATCAACAGCACAACCTACAGGTAGTTAACTGCAGTGGCAGCTTATGGCCTATAAAGCCTCAAATATCTGGTGAGACTGAGAACTTTTGTGCATTCAAAAGAGGAGATTTAAAAAAAAATGTATACAACGCGTTAGAGAGTCTGATTTTCTTTGCCTCAATGCTGCATCATGTTAACATATAAAAAAACGTGGGTGCAAATGTTGATAAATATAACTAAAATCTGAGAAAAAGACGGTTTTAGAAAAACAAAACAGGAATAATTGTTTACAGAGAGATTGTTTTCTATTTCCAATGAACTAGTGCAGCCAGCACACATCATACTATCTGGCAGGAATCAGTGCACTTGCCATGTCCTCTCTTTCTGCAGAATGCTGACATCGCAGTAATGAATCCTCCTATCCTAAAGAACTGGCTGCGAAGCCACAGGTCCCCGCTTAGCCATGCTGGGTTCACGGCTCAGGCCATTTCATTGTGTCGAGATCACAGAGAGAGACATCAGAGGAGTGGCGCTAACACACTCGTCTGTGGAGCCTTCGACCTCTCCTTCATCGTCCCCAGGGGATGGAGACGGCTCAAAGCTGGAGCCTCGGCAAGCCTCTGGCTCAGAAACACACCAGTGGCCCCCGCGCTGGCCCCGGCGTCAGCCCTGGACGGTCGCACCAGGGGCTTCCCAGGTCCTCGCAGTCTAATCACTCCAGCAGAAACAATGTCTGGTAATGATGCCTAGGACCCAAGTGCGTCTAATGACAACTCATACATAATTCAGCACCTTTCACTTGGCTGCACGGTGATATCCTCATTAGTAGGGGACCCTCAGTGGCTGTCAGATGGTGGCCGCACAATCGCAGGCTCTCATTTTGTCTTTGAGAAGTGCAGCTGCTTCCATGACATCGCCAGCAAAGAGGGGCAAAAGGGAAAAAAAAAATGCAGCGCGGGTTTGTTTTATTTAGTGCAAAAAAACCTTCCAGTTTGTAAAAACAAGGCTGACACAGAACCTGACACCAGGCAGGGGAAAATAATTAGCTCTCATTTTCTCAGCCTCCTGTTTCCTTCTCCCTGCTGTGTTTTCTACCCACTAAACCACCACATGTCAGAAGAAATGGGAGGCAATTAGCAGGCTCGTTTCAGCCCCGCCGAACACACTGAAAGAGGACTATTTATGATGGGACAATGAACAGCTGAAAGATTAAATAACGTTTGCCTTTTAAAGGAAAATGACTTCTGGCTAAATGGGCTATTTTTGATTAAATTCAAACAGCAAGTGAAGAGCGCCCCTTTCTACACAGTTTCACACCCTAACAAAGGGGCTGTGAGCGAGTCGAGGTGGATGCGGTACAAGGCTGAGAGTGAAATGTTTATTTGTCTGGTTTAATACATGTCTAGTGATGCCCTCAATGGCCAGTTTAACAGACCGCCATCATGCATCTTCAGAACAAATAGCTCCACCAGCAAGCAGGCTGAGGAAAGTATCCATTATTATTACCCAAAAACATTCAAAGTCAGCTCAGCATCTGTGTTTGGTATTCATTAATTGTTGGCTTCACAGAGCCAATAAGGAGCTACATCAGACGCTCACAGCTGCTGAACACGTTCAAGTCAGTGTGTCTCTGTGCAAACTTACAGACTTTCCTTTTCCTGGTTTCCAGTGGTACCCAAACACCAGCTCCAGACTGACAATTTTACTTTGTTCCACTTCCTTTTCCAGCTCATCCTTACAGAAAAAAAAACATTAATATATTATGAAAACCCAAATATGATCAGAAAATAGAGAGATGCACCAAAACAGATCAGCCGGTGACTAAAAACAGGTGTTTAGCTTGAATAGCCAAGAGAATGGAGACTGGTCCCGAACTCAACACCACATAACCCTGGATAACAAGTGAGCACCACCAGGTTAGGGTAGAATAGCCATGTGTTGTGGAAGTTGTGACTGAGGAAAACAGACTCAAATCTAACTATTTCTAGTATTATTAAGTTGCTTAAAATGAAGTTGAGACAAAACAAAGATGTAAGAACCTTTTACTGAGGACTTTTTGCGACATGTTGTGATGGTCACATGGTCAGTAAGCCCACACAAAACCACTTTTCCATAAGTTTTAATACACAGTAGCATAAATGTATCGGTTTGTTTATTTTGACAATATTGGAAGACATTAGTACCAATTGTAGCGCGCACATTTGGTTAATTTTTGTCTATTTAATTTTGTGAAATGCTTAATATATTTTGTGCTTTCTTTTCTGGTGTTGAGGGAGTGCCGTCAACTGGGAGATTGTGGCTGACATAATCATTGACTGATTGGGTGGTACCATCTGGAGTTCCACTAGCGGGGAAGACCATGGACTCCACATTTTAAATATGTTGCATAATTTCTTCTTCTTGCTTTTGTGATTTGCTCATTTTGTTAATTTGGTTAATGATTATTATTTAAGTTTAATTCTTAAGCTAGTTTAGTTATTTTTGTCAAATTGGTGTAGATGTTCTCCCTACCTCTTCCTCAGTGTGTCAGCCTGGTCTGATCAGCCAGTATTTAAGTCCCCTTTGTTTGATGTGTGTCAGGTCAGTTTTGTTTGTTCAGTTAGTTTGAGGTTTGATATGTTTGAGATTGATATTTTTTGCCCTTAGTTAGTCTCTTCATTTGACCTCTTTTAAGAGCCCTGAAATCTTTGTTTGGATTATTGTTACTATGGGGAAATAAAACCCAGTTTTTCTTGACAATCACCACTGTGTCCTCATGCTTGGCTGGCTCGGTCCCTCACAATGTTGATAAATGTCTGGTTCAGTTGGGTTGCGTGAGAGCTTTTTTTTTATCCTCTTTTTTTAAGCTTTTAAAATCAGATTTTTTTTTTTAACATGCTGGGTTTGGAAATTTAGCCTTTTTGAAATTTTATTATTAAGCTTCTACATCGGCGAGGGAATCACTAAAGCTGAGGTCACATGATTTTGCACCTGATTCGACCTACAATTCTCATTTGGGTAAAGTCTGCACTAATTTGATCTACATGTTGACCACGGGAAGTGTAGGTTGGCATGAAAATCTCAATGTTAGGGATAAAGATGCACATCTGAAAAACTGTGAGACGTAAAAAAGTGGTTTCTCTTCCTGCTTTTTTATTTCCTTCTTTTATATTGTCGTTGCTTCTTAAAGTTTAACAAGCAGTTGCCAAGTTATATTGTGGATATAACCAACAACAACTGTTGTCAGTTTAACCTCAACTGTTGCTCTTGTAAAAGCTATTCGCAGTCAGTTATGCTTTAGTTGCTTTAACAGTTCATGTAGGCTGCAAATTGTTATCATTAAGAAAAGCCTTTAGTAAAACAGGAGATAGGTCACAAGCTCATGATCACTGCATCTCTAACTGAAAACAAACTTCTCTCAATGAAAAAGACAAACTCTGTACCTTTAGCAGTGGTGGGAAGTGGAGGAACCCAAGGTAATCATTGGTTAACTTCTCAATCTCTGCCTGTTAAGAGAAAAATCAGTAATTCAAATAAAAGTATTGTTTTAATTTATCCTTTAAACATGTGACCAGGTGGTAATGAACTTCCTGCCTTAAGGTGCATGACGTGGCCTTTGGACTTGACTCCCATGTCCCGCATGTCGCTCTCTGTTAGCAGCAGCAGCCTCTTCCCGGTGATGTGGTTTTCTTTAAGCAGGTTGGCGTAAAGCTGCATGTCACAAGTACCATCTCCTGACACCAATGAGCAAACAATCAATTAACAGCTGGAAGTCTTAAATAATAATCCTCAGAATAAGCAAATTAAGGAGAAGTGGCATACCTGCACCAAATAAATGCATCATCCAGAAATACTGTAAAGTTAGGACATATGTTGCATTAGTATTAGCTCTTAAATGACATGTTAGCTACAAAAACAGTGATACTGACCACATGCTCCTCTGTCCAGGTGTATATGTCAAGGGTGGGTAGCAACTGCAGAGAAGCACAGACGAAACAAATGATCACAACCGATTGTGGGTTCGAAAAATAACATTTTGGGCTGCATCTTCAAAGATTCAGAATAAGGGGTGTTCAGAATAAATTGGATGTGTTATTTTTCCAAGTTCTAGCAATAAGTGGATGTGTTGCAGATGTTAAAACATCAATTTGGTTCTGCCAAGAATGAGCAGATGGCATGTTCTACAAACAGCTGATTGTGGCCTAAAAAGAACGATGAGGTTTTTAGCCATATGTCTGAAAACAATAATGAACAAAATCATAAAAATAATCATTATTATATTGTATAGCTGGAAAGAAATGTATAAAGCGATTTACATAGGTAGCTTACCCCTAAGTGACACGGACAGAAGTTCAAAAAATGTAATAATGAAATGAATAAAGTTAAATATAAAAAAAGGAAATATAAAACATGACAAGTTGCCTTTGTCTGTTGAATGCACAATCTATTTCAAACATCTAGATTTATATCAGCGCCTCCTTTGAAGCCACAATGACTGCAGATATTTTTGCATGTCAGTTTTGCACCTAACTTTCAGAAGTACAAAAAAAAATGGAAACAGTGTAATGGCAGTTGAGTTGAAGATTTGGAAAATGACTTTGCTGCATACATTTGCATATCTTTAACCTATGGATCTGTGCAGTTTGGTCATTAGAATATCTGCCTATTATTGAAGGCACAAACGCAAATTTTTTTTTTTTACACATGCTGTCTGGTGATTTTCAAAATCAGTTCACTTTCCACCCTTTTTGAAGATCTGCTCAGCGGGTACAGACACATTTCCATGTGTTTAAAAAATGCAAACTTTTGGAAGATCAAACCCTGTGTTGGTTTATCTATGATAAATTTCAAGTGAATTAAATATTATAGAAACATTGTAATGTGTACTGAGTTTTTAGCAACGATAATTTCTAGTTATGGTCCTCTTCACATAACAATCCACAAAAACTAGCAGAGTTCTTGGCATAGAGATTAAACTAAGTAAAATATTTAAAGCGTCAAACAAAACTCCAAATATAGAATATATAAAAAGAAAGAAATGTCTTCTGGATAGTAAATCCTAAATTGCTATTAAGAGGAATGAATCTATTTGAATTGGTTTAACATTTTTTTGGTATGCAACATTTCTAACATATAAAAAAAATACAGCAAATGAGCATAAAGCTGTGATTCAGCCAACAAACTCCCTTTTCCTCTGTTTTGAGTCGAGGTGAGTCAGATAACAACAACAACAACAAAAAGAAGGATGTACTTTTCACACCCTAGTAAGAAAGTGCGTCTCAACAACTGCACTCCACCACATCCAGGACAAATTGGCCAATCTTAATGTCAGCAAAATGTCACTTCATCATAAAAGCCTGGCCCTCTCTAAGCAGTCAACTCACGCTGCAGTTTTTACACAGCACAGCACTATACATCCCGAGCACGAGGCCCACAGGAAATGACCTCCAGAATGTCCACAGGTGGATAAATGTCAATATCTGACTCCCATTACCTGCTTTCTGTTCAGCGTGAAGCTTTTAGTTATTTTGCATCAGGCATCATAACATATATATTTTAAAACATTCAATTATATTTGAGACCTGCAAAGTGTTGGTAATCTTTCAACTTGACTGTTTTTTCTAAATAACAGCCACAAACTTTAATCAAGTTTATTAGGATTTTATGCCACAAGCAAAAATCAAGTAGTGCATAATTATGAAGAGGAAGAAAAGCAGAAACATCTGAAAGGGTGGCATGAGCATTTAACACTTAATCTCTAAAGAACCGCAAACAAAAGCCCGTGCAGACAGGACTTCATAGTTCACTTAGTATCTATAAATGGTATGAATATGCAACAGCTGACAATCTACACCAGGCATCCCCAAAGTCGGTCCTTGAGGGCTGCTGTCCTGCAGGTTTTAGAGGTTTCTCTGCTTTAGCACAGCTGATGCTGATGATTGCAGTTCCGCAAAAGCCTGTTAATCAACTATTAATGTAAATCAGCTGTACTGGAGCAGGGAAACCTCTAAAACCTGCAGGACAGCGGCCCTCGAGGACCGAGTTTGGGGATGCCTGATCTACACAGACAAATAACTGTTAATGGACATGCATAAGTTGTGCACATTTTAATGTGGGGGTGGGATAATATTTTCAGAAAAGCTGACAGCCAGTCAGAATAGCACAGTCACAGTCATTAACCTAAATAATAATTAATTGCAAGATTTGAAAATTGATATTCACAGACACTCTATAACATGTATAATTGAGATTGAGTCAATATACAGATAAATCCCAATAAAGTGCATTGGATTTTTACTATATACATCTAGTAAAATTGTAGAAATATAAATGCATTTGCAAGACAGTGCAGGTTTACAAAGAGGTGGGTTTTTTCCTCAACTAAAACAAAGTAACCGAAGTAAAGCTTTAAACTATTAATCCCAATATATTCTAACCCAAATAAGGTTTCCCATCCTCTGTCATAGTTTATCTTGTTAATCAAAGACCTTCTCACAGAGTGGAGACAGACCTCCTCACATTGGTAACTTAATACAGTTTGTTATAAAACTGTGATCATTTTTTTAGAGGGCCAATTGAAATACTGGAGCCCTTCCTATTTTCTTTTCCAGCATCTGGTTTAATTAGTTAGTATGAACACCCATTTATCAACACATTTTTTACACAATTTGGAAAAGTAGTTTAGAGCCTCTTAACCATAGTAGCTATGAATCAATTTCAGACTAATGTTTCAGTTTGATTTTATTCTTTTAAATCACATTCTGGCTTCTCTGTATTAGTGGAAATCTATATCTCCACTCTGAAGGAGAACCTACTCTGATTCAAAGGACGGAGACATTAAACAATTAGGGTAGATTAAAGACAAATTATTATAAAATAAAAAGATTTAAAGGACAAGAAGTAAGATATAATATATTTCTTAAGTCATAAATAACATCAGGAGGAAATTTATGTCTTTCAATTAATATTTAAAGGATCAAGAAAATCCTAAAATGACTGTATATTTTAAAGTTTTGAAAGTGCTAAATCTTATGCAACTTCCCATCTTCTTCATGCCACTGAAAAACGGCAAGCAAATGGTTCAACTGAAGCCATCATCACTATAGTAACACAGCACTTCAATCATTCTAACAACACTTCAATGCTTTCATGCCCAAGTCAGGCTACAGAGAGAAACACTCGAAGGTAAACCAATAGATGTGACAATAGAATTGTAAAATTGAAGGTGTATCAGAGTGATAATACGCGTCTCACCGGACTGTTTGACTGTTCGATGAGCTTGCGCTCCCACATCTTCAGACGGCGCTCCCGCTCCTTCAGCTCCTGCTCCTTTGTGCTGAGGTCCCTCTCCAACTTCTTCAGCCGCTCAAGAGTAGCTTCGATTTCACACCTTCAACAGAAAGAACATTTATAGGGATGGTCGCCTTTGGAAGTTTCCCATCAGGAGCATGTGTCTGCATGCTTTAACATCTGTCAGAATCAGCTCATCTATAAATGTCTCACTTCTGCAAAGATAAAGTAATGAAGTTCTTTGCCTGAATAAACCTTGATAATTCAGATAGCTTTTGCATCAACTTATTTTATATCTGAGTTTAAAGCAATTTTCACTAAATCACAGGGTCTGACCAGGAGAGGGCGCTTCTATTTAGATCTTTATGTCCACAAACCATGACAGAAAATATATTTTAGTACAAAGACTGATGCAAACTCAAGGGTCCAGCCAAGGACCAGCCAAGGGCCCATCAAGGAAACTGGGGAAATTTTTAATGGCTACTACTGTACCTCTCCATTTCTGCATGGAGCAGGTGTGGCTGGCTAGCTCAAGTGGTAAGTCAACCGTCCTGCAAACAGGAAGCCTGGCTTCATATCCCAGCTGGGGGGAATGAGCTGCCAGTGTCGGTCCTTAGGCAAGACCCCTCACCCTAATGCCTGCTTTGGGGAGTGGCGGTCTAGTGGTTAGGGGAAGCTCCCCCATTCAGGCTCCCTGGGCAAAGACCCTTAACCCCTACACTGCTCCCAAGGGGGCCGCACAATGGCATCCCACTGCTCCCCAATATATTCTAACAATATTCTTAAAACCCAATATTTAGATCATTGATTTCATTCCTCTGTACTTGTGAGAGTATAATGACAATAAAAAAAACACTGGAAGGTGTTATAAAAGTTTAAGAAGGAAGGGAGGAGGTGCAGAGGTAGGACACATTGAAGGAATCAGGACACGATAAAGGAAGGACAGATGAAGGTACATAGTAATACTAGTATACAAGGAGATAAGGGCACAAGTTGGCAATCAAGGAAAGTGGGAGGATAATAGAGGAGAATGCATAGAAACAAGCTGGTAACACAAAAAAAGGATATGAGCAAGAAAATGAAGGAATGAAGAAGGAACACAAGAAAAATCTCCAAGTTAGCTAACATATTTACCCTAATTAAAGCCCCTCTGTTTATTTCTTTCATTAATGCATTGGAATCAAATATATTACTGCAACACAAGAAAGCCCTGATCAAATTATACACACATAGTCACAAAAAACATTTCACTCTACACTTCAGATACTTTCTGTTTGTCAAGCAAAAAATGTGGGATAAAGTTTTTTTTAATGCTTAAATTATGAAAAAAAAACAAATTTAAATAGGTTGGATAAGTACTAGAGGATTCACAGCATCCGCTGCAGGTCCAGCAGATTGCAACAGCTTATTCCCCACTGCCATCAGACTGCTGAACTGTTAAAAAAAAACTCCAAATCAAGTCACAGACTCTGCATCGCACGGATAATACCAAAGTACAATACTGCATATTTGCAACACATTTTGTTTGCTCAGTGGTGCAGTGGATATTACTGCTGCCTTACAATAAGAAAGTTCTGGGTTCAATTCCCGGCCTGGGGTCTTTCTGCATGGAGAAAGATTGTGATTATAAAAACTCAGTATACATTACAATGTTTTTTTGGGACTGGCGACCTGTCCACGGTGTACCCCGCCTCTCGTCCGTAGACAGCTGGCGATCCTAGATTAAGGGATTTTATAGCTTCGATCCAACTTGGTCCCTTCTTCCCCCTTCTATCCTTTATAACTTAACTGTCATTTAACAGGGACCCTGGTCATCTGAACTTTTTTTAGTACGTTTTTTTCAAACCATGGTTGCTTATTTCTATTTGTCAGGATGTTATTTCAAACCTGATCCAGCTGCAATATTGCCCTGGTAAATGGTCTTTACTTATGTAGCGCTTTTTCTAGTCAGAGGACTTGATCAAAGCACTTTACACAATATTCACTCATTCTCCCATTCATGCACACACTCACACTGATGGTGGCAAACTATATAGTAGTCACAGCTGCACTGGGGCTCACTGACAGAAGTGAGGCTGCTGTACACTGGCGCCACCAGTCCTTCCGACTGACATAACAGCTAAATATTTATTCTGCATTATTGTGAATTTCAACCGCTACACCAGAACAAAACTCATTTGAATGTGTTTAATTAAATTCAGCATTTTATTGTTGATGTGGTTCATAACTGTTTCTATAAGAATGTCTCTGCCACAGGTGTTGAGTTTTACCAATATTTGCAGATGAGTAATACAGCGGTCAAATCAGTGACTGAAGTGATGTTTTGGGGTATCCTGAACAAATGATGAAGTTAACCAGAACATAAGTCTGCAGTAAATCTAGAGATGTTCCAACAATCCAAACCCAAAGAGTGAGCAATTATTCTGATGTTGAAGAGGTTTATTTCATCCAGCAGGAGGAGCTGCTCGTTGATCATGAACAAATGTGTCCCAGACAGGAAGGCCAAACCTTGTTTTTCCTGTTCTTCCAATTCCTCAACACTGAAAGCTTTTTCCTGGAAATGCCTTTTACTCACATACTCCACATATACAAATACAAAAAGAATAAAAAAACAACTTTAATGCAAGAGTATTCAACTTTTTTTATTAGCTCTAAACTTTTGATTCATATTTTGGGCCTTCTGAAAGACTTTTAATAATGTTTTCTGCATTTTGACAGATTAAAAAGTCATGTATTGTTAAAAAAAAGGAAATAAAAGATTGGATAGATGCATTATCTCTCAGTGTATCATTAGTGTTTTTGACATAAGCTTTGAATATGAGTTTTTCTAATGAAGGAGTAATGGTTCCCTCTATTCACTTTCTGGGCTGCTTCTGCATAACTGATCATTTTAGCCATTTGCTGTACTTGTGTTGCTCTCTTCCACATCCCAAAACCCACAGTTAACCCTATCATGACCTCACAGTAACAGAACTGGTGTTTCTTTTTTTTTTTTACATCACTCTATCCTGTGTTCCTCTCCACATTTTAAAAACATCTCCTTTCCCTTTAAATGCTGCTGCCACATGTCCACAGAGCTGGCTCTTGGTGAAGGAAGAACAACAGGCTTCACTGGGGAGCACAAATCACCTATGTTTAGTTTTTCCTGCAAAACTGACAGAAAACTATCAAGGGCCTCTTGACCCCTTTCCCTGACCAGTACCATTTAAAAAACTCTCCTTAGATTTTTAACTTTGACCCCAGGAATGTCTCTTTCTAGATTTTTTTGTAAATCATCATCATTGGTATTCCTGTATTTACACCCTTAACTTATGAAGAATCTGTAAATGTTGTTCTCTATTACATAATTTTTGTTAAAAAAAAATTATTTTACTCTCTTTCATTGGCGGTTTTAATACAGGGACCCCTACTGAAAGCATAGCACTAAATCAGCTTGTTATGATGATACATTCTAGCACATAAAGTTTAACTGACTGGTTGTTTCAACCAGTTTAGTTTCTCACTTAACGCTTAAAAATGACTTTAACCTACTGTTCCTATTGGTACAGAATCCTTTTATTTCATTTAGCATCATAACCACTATATATATATATATATATATATATATATATATATATATATATATATATATATATATATATATATATATATATCATAATATTTATATATTCTGAACTTCTGAAAATTAATAAAACAATTATCTGTAAACTTTAGTATTTATGTAATATTGATGCTTTTATTTTAAACCACTCTAGATGTGCTACGGTTGGGTTATAAAAAAAAAAAAGGAGTTTGATGAAAAATATGTAGCTTTGACCACGAAGGAGGAAATATCTCTGGGTTTTTATGGAAGGGGTTTCTGAGTCACACTACTTCTTCATCAGGCCTTCCTTCCTCCAACTCGCTTCTACTTGGCACACCATCTTGAATCTCCTACCTGAGTTGCCATTTCGTCCCATTTACATGCCATCTATCAATTCTAAGGTATACCTGAAAAAAATTGGGTCAAAACATTGTTTTTAAATTTCTATGCTTCTCTGATGTAAACCTTTCGTCTTTATGCTTTTACTGCTTCAACACACCTGATTTCTGTTGGTGGCTGATCAACCTAATTTTTGCTGAATTGCACTCATGTGAATCAGGTGTGTTAACGCAGAGAGACTATTAAAACCTGAGGGGCAGCAGCCCTCGATGACCTAGTTTGGCCACCCTTTCTTCTAGAGGATATTAACCCTTCAGTTTATTTCATTTAAAGCTCAACTGCTCTGTATTCTAAAATAAACTGCAGCATATAAAGAGTTTTCCTGAAAGAAAACAGGATATGGACAAAGATTGAGGCAGAAAATCAGGACTCCTAGTCAAAATCAGCCTGAACCAATCTAAACATGTTGATTTTTTCTGAATACGGCCCACTGGGATCTAAAAAATTTGTTTTTCCAACCCATGGAAATGCTACTGTAGATTTTACTATTTGGATAAATAAAGTTAGAGGAAGCATTGGTATGTTAGAAGCTTTAACAGAGAAATTATATTTACTTTATGTAGGTAGGAGCTAAGCTAAATGGAATGTGGCAAAGATTGCTCTGTTTTGTCCTCTTCTGCTTTAACCTCTTTTTGTCATGGGGAATGAAAATAGGGCTTTCAGTCTCATTGCAAACATAGGAAGTTACTTAGGAAATATAAACTTAATAATCACTTTGTTTTGGTTTTACATTTATTAACGAAAATATAAATAAACCATAAGTCCTCATTCCCTAGGTTAGAAAAAAAAAAGATGTGCCGATTATATTTAATTCAGCTCAAACGATAATTGGAAGTATGGTGAGTTAAAGCAAACATGATAAACTAATGAATGCAAACTCTTCATCAGCTCTGCTGGAGTTCCCTCATGTACTCATCAGGCACAAGTCGTCATCCAGAAAACTTTCTGTGCAGCAGATTCTGGTTTTCTTCTTTCCAGAGCTGAAATTCCCTCCACCTGCAGATGGCTGCGTGGACACGCTGCCACCGGCACAACTTCTGAGATGAAAACGGTAAAAACTCCTCAGCGAACAGACGAGGCCCGCAGAGAGGCAAACAGAGAATAAAGTGACAGCTGAGACTCAGGCTGTGCTGAACACCACCAAACATCCAGCTGCTCATACAGGCCAATTAAACACTTCTACTTGAAAAAGATGGTGATTATTTTTAGGGTCTTATGGGTAAAGAGAGGAAGTATATCCAGATGGATCCTTCTTTGGGGGTTTTCATGTCTTTATGTAGTGATCAGTGTAATTATTAAGGATCTATATGCATCATCTCCAGCTCTTTTTTGTGCCTAGCGGCCCCCATCAGCTACATTTCCACTTCATTCTTAGCAAACAGTCGCACATTATCTTATGTTGAGGCAGTATATTGGCAAGAGAAAAGCGTCATAAATACATTTAGAGGCTGTGTAGAAGAGCTGATCACATTACCTCCATTCAGCCTTGCTGTGAAGGAAAGAGTTGCACTGTTCAGGAAGCTGTCTGTCTTTAGACATAGACTCCAAAGTACCCAGGATCTGCTTAAACATCGGCCTTTCCTGTGTGAAAAAAAATCAAATTAAATACACTGAATACAAAGTTTGTCATGTATGTGTCTCAGGAAAATATACATCCTGCATCATTGTTGACCCACTTGCTTAATGTAACTTACTTTTGGTTCTGCAGACCAACACTTCCTCATGAGCTCTGCAAAGCTGGCAGGACAGCTGCTGGGGATGGTAAGCCTCTGAAAGACCCACAGCAAAGAAAAGCACTGCTAAGAATCAAGGCAATAAATCACTGAATTAAGACTATGTCCTCCCTACTGAATAAAACTCTATAGTTAGCAGCTAGCGGACATTTAGGAGGGCACTGTTTAAATTACTGCACTCAGCCCATGATGAAGCTGTGATCAGGTTCTCATACAATCGATATGATGTGACCTTTTGATTTCTAAAATCTCGGTTTTAGTTATTCTATAAGCGGGGTAAGAATTATAATTATGTTATATTAGAAGACACTCAAATATAAATATAAACCCTAATTTATAGCTGGTTAAATGTCAGTTAGTAAGTTGCATCAAAATTAGTTTTACTGGATATGTGACCACTCCAGAATTGGTAGTTCATTTAAACTGGTTAGTTTTTTTGGGCACTAATCCAGCATTTAGACCCAGTCCAGAAATCTTATATAGTTTTGAGGTTTGTGGTCATCCCAAAACCTCTTATCACTGGCTGCCAAATAGTCCCTTAGCATGATTCTACCACCACCATACCCGACAGTCTGCACGGTTTGAAAGTTGTACCTAAACCGCTGAACACATCCATTTTATTGCAGTTAACCAAACTGTTTCATCTGATTTCAGTTGTCTTTGAGTACATTGGTTTTGCGGCATGGAGTTCATCTTTCAGACAGCACCTTCTCAGTTCATAAGTTAAAACTAGTTCAACTGTAAACTGTGACGCAATGTTTGTTCACAAACATTCAACCAATTCCTGTTCTTCTTTGGTTGATACATTGGGTGAGATCATTTACATTTTGAGATAAAATGGTGTTCTGCCAGGAAAATGACCCAAAGCAACCAAAACCAACATTTTTGTTTTAAAAACAATTCCAAAGCCCTGACATCACAATGGCTATAATAAAATTTAGGGAATCAGAGAATAAAAACATTTCAAATAACTCATTCAGAGCCAAATAAATTATTTGCATTTAATTTTGTGAGTGTATCTTAACTTCTCTGAATAACTTTACATGGGTTGGATTTCAAGTTTTGGTAATGCTGACATTTTTCAATCCACCAGAAAAACTGTAAGATGTTATATTATCAATTGTTTCCATGTTTTTATATCTGAAAAATCTTTATAATAGAGAAGCATCAGCAGAAACATGTCCACTAGTTATTGTTTAACTAAATTCAAGGGGTAAATCTAGTAGTACTGAGGCGGGTATCTTACAAGCATTACCATAACATAGCACAAGCATAACCACCCACATCTACTTAAAAAAACGGCACACACAAAAGTAGCAGTTATTATGTTTATGAAATTTGTGTTTATTTTGTTATAATATTTTTAAGTTGTTTCAATAATAATAATAATAACTGAACTTAATTGATCTCACGTTAGAGAAATTTACCTCTGCATTATAACCCAGAAGTGAAAAGAAAAGAAGAGGGCTGCCATTGTGCAGCGCCCGCGGAGCAGTGTGTGGTTAAGGGTCTTGCTCAGGGACCCAGAGTGCAGGCTGTGGGGATTAAACCGGGTTCTGTTCTTACAACTAGGCCAAATTAACTTTAGAAACTTTTAAGAAGCTTTAAGCTTGACCCTCTGGTCAGAGCCGTTACTAGCTACGTTTACATGTGCAAAATTTCCATTATGCAATGTAAACCTTGGTTGATCGGAAATTCAAAATCTATGTTTGAATGGACACTAAAAAAAATGATCCTATCATGACCTGTGTATACATGTACCAAGCATTCGATCAGATTAAATCATTTAAGCATGCATGGAACTGTTTAATTTTCTGGAAAAAAATACAGAAAAACATCATGCTGATGTTGCACACATGCAAAGTGAAGATTATTTTACTCTAAAGACCCAAATGGGTGTGTGCATGCAAATGATCAGCAAAAGCCACTTCTCTCTTTTAGAATGATATTTCTTCCCGATCAGATTAGAATCCTCAGTCTGAAATGCTTACATGAAGCATTTTTGATCTGATCAGGCTGTTAATCTGATTATTTGTTTCCGTGTAAATGTAGCTATTGATTGTTGACAACTTCACAGCATTGATATCAACTCAAAGCAAACAGGTAAACAAACAGAAGAAGACAGCCTCTAAAACAGAGTAGATATTGTTATCTGATCACATTACCTGTTAAGTAAATCTTAAAAAGTCCCACACCTTCCTCTTATAAATCCTTTTTAAAAGCAAAAGTAATCTAAAAATGATTCTTAGTAAATTAACAAAAATCTTGTTCTGCCAATCAATCGAGCGAGTCCTGTTTGATACTGTTTTGTTGGATAGAATTGTTAAAACTAAATTAACTTGTATTTAAAAACACATTAATTAAACCATTCAGAGTGCATGGGAGATTTATGCACTCCTGATTAGACTAGAATCTGTTCTTTATGCTGATCACCAGCTTGGTGGTCAGACATGGCTGTGGCACAGAATCCAAATCATCAACCTCACATGTTTCTGGTCAGCAAACATGAAGATATTGATCTACCAGGTGTTCATAGAGGTTTAAGTCTAGACTGCAGGCAGGATATTAAAGCCTTCCTACTTCTTTACTCTGGGGTAGTTGTGATAATCCTGTTTTCTGGAGATGACCTCTCGTACCTTAGAGAACAAAGTTTGTCCCTAACAGTAAAGACAATGGATGGTATTTAGGTAGAACATTTCTGAACCAAATATGTAATCAAATGAAGCCAGAGGTGCAACAGGCACAGCAATGCTGTAGGTGATGCCATATTGTTGCCACAGAAGTAAAGATTTATTTGCACTTGTTTGTAAGAAGAAAACCATTGCCACAACAATGAACCTGGGGGAGAAAAGATGTGCTCAGTGCAGGACCAGCAGGTTCTGTTACAGCTTTTTCCCCGCTGCCAATGACTGTTGAAGTGTTAAACACTCTAATCAAGTTACAAATAGAAACTCTGCATCACACTATTAACATCATTTTTGCACTACATGGTGAATCTTTAAAACAAAAACTCACTTAAGCGTTTATACTGCATTTTGCACCATATCTATTTATTTATTTTTGCATTGCTCTAAATCTTCAACATTAGTGCCTTTTGCACCATGTCTCTCCTATACTGTTTACATTTTGATCATCACTTCACTTTATAAATGGAAATGTTCATTTCACTGCTAAGCTGCTGCTTATTCACTGTCGAAAAGCTGTATATGACGAAATTTCATCACAAAATGATCATAAAGTTTGTCTAAGTCTAAGTGATAATACTCAGTGTTGGAGATGCCAACAAAGATTATCACACTGTCACTTTAAAACCACTTTTACTGGAGTAAAAGAACATTACTCAAATTGAAGAAAGAACTTACTCGGGTACAGATAAAATTAGGTTGCCTCTACATAAAGTAAAACTTACTCGTATGATAGAGCTGCTAAAAGTGATATTTCTATTACTCAATTTTGACTTACAGCTCCCATTTTAAGCAAATTTCACTTTATAAACATTTTGTAAAGGTCATACGTGTCCTGAAGCCTGGCATGAGATTTAGAAATAAAAAAAAACAAAACAAAAACCATTCCCCTCTCTTATTTCCTTTCTCTAACTTTTAGCTATGTGTGCTCAAAATGCTCTGTAAGAAAATTGTGCCCTTCATGATGTCATCAGGGGAAATACGCTGTCCTGAGCAGTATGTAGCAAATCAGTCAAGCTCCTAGGCTAGCCTTTTTTTTCTCGGCGATCTTAACGAAGTCTGACTGGTTGTCATGGTTGTGGGGCAGCAGGCTTTAGGATATCAGGTCACCAGAGGAGGGCTGAATGAAAAACAATTTGGTAAAGCCTGTCTGCCTAATCTGAGAAGAATATTCCTGCAAAAACTACAAAAATGTGCTCTGGAATTATTTACGAATAATTCCTCATGACAAACTAAATAATGACCTTAAAACTAAAAGGGTCAAAAGTGTACATGTGTATCTAAGTAATTGATAAAGTACCTCATTTTTCTCCACCACCAGCCAGGCTACCTGTAAGCCTTCCAGACCTTTGAAGGGGATTTCTCGAGTGAGCATTTCCCAAAGCACCTGTAAAGTCAGAATAAACAGTCAAGAGAGCGTCAACATATATGTTTGCATTGAAAAATGCAAACATTTGAGAATATCTATTTATGCTTTTTTTTTGGTCCAAACTAAATTTCTGTGATATATTTCTATTCCCAACATTATTCCAATATAGCACATTTTAGAGACAACATCACAATAGAATACTTTTTAAAATAGCTTTATTTCGGTTATTAAAACTGCAGTTGTGCTTCAAAGTTTACAGACCCCCCAAATAAAGAAAATGGTAAATTCACACTTGCAGTTCAAATAACAAAAATCTGAAATGTAAAATTACTTTAGTAAAATAAAATATGGATGTTGAATAATTGTTTAAAATAATTATTCTATAAAAACAAAACAAACAGCAGTGATTAAGGTCTGGGGTCCTCATGGGATAACGCTTTAGATTTATCTTTTCTGATAATGACACAAGTCATAATTATTCATTTAGGAGTTAATGGTTAGTAAGTGATGTAATATTCTATGTAGTTTTAGCCATTTAAAAATAATGTCACTATGTTCTTAATTGTTAATAAAACAGCAGAGTTTGACAAGAGTGGCACAAATGGTTATTAGGTTTAATGAGACAGGCTTCTTGAAAAGACTTAGAAAAAAATACACATTCTCCTAGAATCATTTAATAGAATCATTAGTTTTTTTTATGAAACATTCAAATTAGGCAAAAAAAAGGAAAAGACAAAAAAAAATAGAAGTAATGTGTAAAGGGGAAAATATAATTTTTTCATAACCCCGTTTTTACTCTGAGTAAAAGGACTTTTTTAAGAATGTAAACTGCTTACTGAGGAGACCATTTTATAGAGAACTGGATCTAAATGACACTCCCTGGGCCCATCTAGAGTGGCTTATTACGCATCTTGAATTAAACATGTTTTTCCTGTCCTGCGGAAAGTTGCATGTCCTCTGATAGAAAGTTTAAAAGTGTAACAGAGAAAAGATTCATTTATGCCCACTTCCAAATGCCCCAAGGGGCTTTTAAGACCAATGGGAAAAAAAACAAAATTTCTAACAAGTTGTACTTCTGCAAAGGTCATAACTCCTGCGTTTGACCACCCACGACGAATAAAAAAAAGAAAAAAGAAAAGATATATAAAAAGTGCCTGACAGGCGAGAGAGTAAAGTGCAATTTTGTGCAAATGTATTTACCATATTAGAATTTTCCACAAGTTTGATTTCTTTTTGCTGGAAGAAAAAGCCTGTCAGTCAAGTCTTCACTTTAGTAACAAAGTGGCTCCCAGATTCTTCAGCTCAGGCTTTTATCTACACAGTTCTAATCAATCACTCTCGTGCCCTTTAACTTTTCATCATGGCTACATTTCCACTTAATCTGGGGTTTATTTTTAGGAGGAAGAAATCACTCAAAAGGAAGAAAAATTTACAAATAAGTTAAGCAACTCTGGAAATTTGGGAAGTCAAGACTTTGACCTGTGCGAGATGTTCCACCCGATTTATCTGTGTTCTGGAACAATGTTGGAAAAGCGGTGGGATTCACTCAGAGATGTCATCAGTGCAAAGGCAAACAATTAAGCAAGACAAGCTGCTAATAAATCTTTTTTCAACAATTGTCTTATCATCAGTGCTTGTACATTGCAGCTTCCGTCTGATTGAGAGGAAAATAATCAGTGATGCAAATGTTTAGTTTAACATCTATCTATCATCACAATTTGTGCACACTGCAGCCAGATTGGATATGAGATTAGGGATGGCAAAGAATCTCTGAATTTCCATGCAAAATACCAGCTTCATCAGGGGTTTCAGTAGAAGAATATTAAATAAAAAATTAAACATTATCTCCTAGATGAACAACTATAACTTATATAGTCATCATTATCAGAAAAGATAGATACAAAGTGTTATTGAATGGCGACACGAGACCTTTGTTACTGTGTATATAACGCTTTACTGATGATTAGTTTTCTACCTGAAGACAAGACAAGAAAAAATGTGAATTAAAAAAATATGTAAAATATGGATTTTTTTACATTTCTAAATGGCCTAAATTGCTGACCATTACTCAAGTTTACAGTAAGAAGGTTGCATATGTCCAGAATAGAATCTAATGGAGGAAATATAAGTGTATCAGCAGCAAAGTGATGCTAATGGAGGCATGCAGATTTGCACACAGGAAAAAATTTAAAAAAATTTGAAAATTATTTACAGTACATGATCATTTTTACAACATAAGAAAAGAAAAATAGAGTACAGTTATCAGTTGCTTAAATAGTATTTTATTATTCAAAAAATAAGATTCTTTTAAAAACGTATAATCATGCAATAGGAAAAGAAAAAAGAATAAAAGAATAAAATACAATCAACAAAAATGATATCTAAAAAGTCTAAAAGCTGCTGGAAAGTAGAATCTGTGATAATAATTTTTTGTGTTTAGGATGCAGAAGGTTGTCAGTGAAGGAGGCGTGACAACTAGAATGCAATTTAAACCCACTGAAGTGTTTAGAGGTCCATATAACTATAAACTAGTGAATATCCTTTATTCGTATTTGTGACAGCCCTTTGGGTAAAAATAAAAATCCGAATCTGTGGGTTAAACCTAAAAAACAAAATCAGAATCAGCCAAGAAACACTGGATCAGTTAATTCTTTAATTTGAGAAACCAGACAAAGCTAACAACTACAACTCCACAGTTCAAAACTATCACTCCAGATTAGTGGAGCATAACAACTAAAAGCCGCTTCTCCATGTTTGGTTCTGGTTGTGGGATGCAGAGTAGACTTGAGACAGAGTATCTGAGAGGTCTGGCAGGTTGACACACTGATCAAAAGTCTGTAATGTATTTTGGAGCTAAGCTTTTCATGATTGATAATCTAAGCATTATAAAGTCCACTCTCTGAGAGACGTGGAGTCAGTGTAATGATTTCAGAAGTGGGGTGATGTGCTCCACTTTCTTAGTTTCAGTGAGGACGCAGGCAGCAACTGTAGCTGTTTAACAATTTGGCAGACTTGTGAAAACACCTTTTTGCACTAATCAATTCTACTAAAGATGAACTCATGACTTCCTTTTTTTAAGGCCTTGCTTAAACATTAGTCCTTTTTATCCTGGATGTTCTTTAGGTGATAAAGCTGTCTTTATCTGCCTCTGGAGGTTCAGATCTGAAGGTTAATTTTCTAGCTGTATTAGATGAAGCTGTCTGCTATATTTTAAACTCTCTTCCTTTTGGTCCAAAAATTATTACTTCTCTTCATTTTAGATTCAGCTTCAAAGATTTTGGCACATCCATGCACTGATTTCTTTAATGCATGGATGCACCCACCACTTAAATACGCTTACGGTGACCAGGTGACATGGTAATTTATAGCAGCGTGTCGTCTGTTTAGTTATAGTAACTTATGTTGTTTTCTATCATAACATGAGTTTGAGAGAGCATCAAATAGGAGAGGGCCTTAGATTGACCCTTGGGGAACCCCACATGAGATATTTGTGGTCTCTAATGCAAAGTTGCCAAATGAAGCCCCTTTCCTCAAAGAAGGAACTAAACCAGTTCAGTGTACTCTGTCAATATAGCTACTCACCACACCATAGGAGAAGGTGTCACATGTCTCTGACACAGGAAGACTCTGGATAACCTCTGGAGCCATCCAGGGAAAGGTTCCCACCAAAGACATGTGAGTCGTGTGGGATAAAAACTTGGATGCTCCAAAATCACAGATCTGAGTTTACATAAACAAACATAATAATTGGACTACATCTCCAATAAGTCTTAATGTGCAACAACAGGCTGCCTATATTTTTCATAATAGTATACATATGTTTAGCTGGTTTTTGCAACAAATTATAGAATTCATAACTTCTTAAACAATTAAAAGCAGTCTAAAAAAACGCTTCAAAAGATAAAGTAAATGTAAACAAAGCAAGAACTTAATCACCTATTGAGTCTTGCAGCTATAAGCTTCATTGTAGAAAATTATCAAAAGAATCTTGCAAACCCTGAACTGAAATGTTTGTAGTGTTTTTTGCTTTCTTTATTCTAAGGTGATCCAATCTGATCATTAAGTTACAAAAGCCCACTTTCAGTCATACATTATACATGTAAAGTTAGTCACTGCCCTCTTGTGTTCATACAGCAGATAAATAAAGGTATTTCTTTTTCCTGCATCAAAAATCTAATTCAACCAATTTTGAGTAAAATGCAGTACATTTAATTATTTTTTTAAAGGGAAAAGAAGAAATAGACTTACCTTCAGAACTTTATCTGCACCCAAAACAACTAAAAGGAAACATAAATACAAGTTTTATAAGACATTAGAGATGTAAAAGTTTGCAGTTATTTGTGAAAATGTTGTTGCTCTGTATGTCGTTTACCATTCCTGGACTTCAGGTCTCTGTGGATCACCTTCACTGGGGCCTCTGAATGTAAATAATGCATTCCTAAAACAAAAGGGAGGGTAAGATCAGTGAAAATGTGCTTCATAGGAAGTTATTCCTATCCCAAAACAAAAGCAGCAGCAGGTACCAAAAGGAGCAGTAAAATGCTCACATATGTAGCTGTTCATAAAATAAAATGACTTGTTAAAAGCCAGCAGGTTTTAAGACAGTAAATCTATCAGACATGGTTATTATGACATAAAAAAGACAAAAGGTGGAGGATCAACTTTAATATTGTAGATGATTGTGTATTTTTTTAAGATGAATTAGTTACACATTTTGTTTGATTTAAGGTCATCCTTCTTGTTTATTCAAATGTTCAAATGTACTGTTTAGATAAGACTGAATGAAGCAGAATCATTTATGACCTTCTATGAGGGCGTGTGCATTTTAGTGGCCTAAATATTATTCTCTCTTTCAAACAGCGTGGGTGGATTTAGATGAGTAATTTTTTGCCTGTTGCATCACTAAAAACAGACTAAGGAAAACACATTAAAACTAACCAGATAAGTCAAAGTCTTTTCTAAGTTTTTTTTTTTTGCTCCTTTTTATCTTTTGGTTCAATACCTAACTTTCTGGTGCCTGGTTTCTTTATTCATTTAAAAACATAATCCATTACCAGACTCAATGGCCTGGATTTTTCTAACTTTTTTTAAAACATCCTGGAGGATTCAGTTTGATGCATTTACCTGCAAATGTAAACAAAGGTTAGGTTTAATTATCTGTATGTCTTTCCGATTATAAAACAGATAAAGGCAGAAGTCTTGTTTCAAGGTCTGATGATTAGTATTTTTTTTTACAGTATTTGCCTTTATGCTTTTTATTTTTCCAGGTCTAGACAAAATTCTAGTTTTTTTTTTCTTCTGTTATTAGGTTTGAAAGAAAAAAAACTATTAGCTGTTTCTACAATTGTTTTGGCATATGTACCAAAACCCCCACATGCAAGCATACAGATTTGAAAAGAAAATTGAGCTTATTTGTGTTTCCTCAGACTTAACTGCAAATTTTTGATAGCTACAATGTAAAAATCCAGTTGCGACGGGACAAATCAAAGATCAAGGATTTCATTATCTGACTCTATGGAAAAAAAGCATTTTATTTTTCCTATTTTCCAACTATGCACATCTGAAAAAAAAATACTAATTTCTTACCTTATCCAGAACTTTTAAGACTACACAGAAATTCTAGCACAAACATATTTAGTCATATTCTATTTTCTGCAACTTCAACAGTTTTGTTTATACCAGTTTATTTATTTGGAACAAATTTGTAGTTTTTTTATACTGCAAGAAAGAAGTATTAAATTCTTAAAGTTTTTCACAGATTGTCATGATATAACTACAAGCCCAATATATTTAAGAAGGATCTTACTGTATAGGAAGAGGAAAATAGAAGAAATATGTTACTATAGGTTAAATGTTACTAAAAATTATAAAAGGTTTGCTATCATGTATATTCAGCCATCCTTAATCGCCACTTTTAGAACCACATTGATTGCAGCTGCAAATGCCTTAGGCTAAGATCTCTTCTAGGTCTGCACATGTAGAGGCAGAACACTGCTGTTAATTCCCTTTGCAAGATAGCTTTACTAGATTGGACAAAGAGCAATAGGTAACATCATATCAGAATTTTTCAAGTCCTGCCACATATTCACAGATTACATCAGGACTTTGACTAGGCTATTTTCACCCTAGAGTAAACCAATCTCTTGTAGCTGTAGTTTTAATGAAACCAAATGTGAACAACTGCAAGAAGAATAAATACTTTTGGGAGGTCCTCAACTTGTCAAATGAAAGAAACAGAAGAATGTAGGAGCATCCCAAGAAAATCTTTAAATGAATCAGTGCATTAAGAGGCAGCATATTTCCTTGTATTTTAGAATTGTAATTAAGAAAAGGACTCATGTTTACCCTTAGCAATCTCTGCAGCCCAGCTCATGATCTGCCTCATGTCCATCTCCTCACTCTCATCACTCGACAAGTAGTCGTACAGGGAGCCCCCGCTTGCATACTCTGAAGAAGCAACAAAAAATAATCTTTGAGAAAAGCACAAAAAAAGTACAATTTTTGGAGTTTTTTTTTTTTTTTTTGAGAGTAAGGTTATAACATAAGTGTTGGTATACAGATCACATATGGGTGCAGTTTGACTGTAGCGACTCTCTACCAAACTGCTGCACTTCCCTCTGCCCTTTGTTCCTTCTGGTGGTATTTGTCACTTTCTCACAATCCCACTGACACAAAGAATTTATAATGAGCCATTAGTGGTGTTTACAAAAGGACAATCACACCGCATTCTGCAAAATCTGTTCTGCAAAAAATAAAAAGCTGCCCAAGATGCAGGAAGGAAAGCTTTGATGAAGCATCTGAATATCAAAGAAATGTAGAACAGGGAAGGTTTCATTTGTAGACAGAGGCTATTTAGGTGCTTCCATAAAGATAAACAAGCAGGGGCTATAACAGCAGGAAGGGTCTGTTTGTGCATAATAACCAATATACCCCAACGCGGTTCTGTAAACATGCACAGGCACCGAGACAGGAGCCTAATTAACAATATAAATAAATAATAAAACAGAAAAAAAAATCCCCATTATTACATCAACAGACCTCATGTGGCTTTTTTATGCTAGTTTCACAGCAGAGGAAGAAATATGTCTAAAGACATAATAAGTTTCTTCTTCCTCATTTCAATTAAAGCTTCTGCACTTTGCACCAACACAAGCTTGTCCACATTCCACTGATTAAAGCGGCGGCTTGGTTGTAAAAATCACTTTCAGTTCAGTTCAGAGAGGTGAAAGGACCTTATTACCTTAGATGCAGTCAAACAGGAAAACCCACCTTTACCCTCAATCAACTTCTCACTGAAACTCATCAGGTCTTTATTGCTGCCAAGTGACAGCAGATATGTGTAAACTCCTGAGGGTCAACATATGAACCGCTCCCTCAGACATTTCATTGAAAGAGGATACTAGTGTGTCAATATTCAGAGGCAATTTCCAACACTGCTGTGGACATGACAAAGCAAACATGCCAAACCTTTTTTTTTTTCCTTCTGTTGATTGTTTTAATTAGATTCTGCCATCATAAACTGATACAGCATCAGGAGGAAAGGTCAAGGTTTCTTTGACTCAACTAACTTTTTTTTTTCTTTTTTTTTTGTTTAGACTTTAACAATTTATCCACCTTGTTTTGCATTTGTCTTTCCTACAACACAATAGTTGAAGTTGAAGTTTTATAACTGTGATCTCAACAGAACCTTCATATTAAGCTAGAATGCATCTTTCTAAGAAGAGGTTTTATTTTGTTAATGTTTCCCTACTCGGTAAGGTTATCTACAGGTTATCTTTACTAGAAAACTATAATCAGTATTAGATTCCTCATACTTTTACTTAAAATTACGAAATATTTTCTAAATTCTTAATTTAAAAAATGAACTTTTCTAATTATTTTATGGCAGTGTTGTGAAAATAAGTTGAAATTCAGCTATCTTATTGCATTTTAACATCTAACACTTGCTATTAAAAGTCTCAACACAAATGTTAAAAAGACCAGATTTTGTAACGGTACAAAATTAGACCATGAAGAATAATTTTCAAAGGATTTCTTTGTTATAAGAGTTGTATGTTGCACAGTAAAGTTCCAGAAAACACATTTGTTAAAAGGACAACACTTAAATAAAATCTGATGAAGCCCCTTTGATTTTTATCTCAGCATCCTTACTTGTTTTCCTTGAGTTTATTAGCATCAATTCATCTTATATTGAAAACGTTTGTCTATTCTACCTCACTAAAGATATCCAGATCCATCATGAGCACATCTCTTTTCCACAGCCTTCTTTAAGTGATGCCTGCTGATTTTCTGTGAGATTGCTCCAAAGCTTTAATACCTTTTACTCTCATTATGTTTTATTTTGATTTAAATGTGCACTACTGTATGAGGTTAATTTATATCAATAATTCAGTGGCAGCTTGTCTCTCAAACAGGGGAGGATCATTGGTGTTAATTAAGTCCAAGTATAACGTATTGCAGAAAATAAATGCTTAAACACATAAAGTACATTACTGCAATGGGTGAAAATAGCTGTTGTGAAGCGCTCTGAGATAATAAACTCCAGAAACCACAGTGACAGTTCAGCACAACATGGCTGTTCCTGAATGATCGCTTTTTCTTCAACGCATTATAGAGTACATTTAATGCAGTTTTAATGACTACATTTATAAAGTTTAACAATGCATATTCGACCAATTATTTCAGGAAATTTACAGCGGAGGTTTAGCATCACTAGTATTCAATGAGGAATCGCCACTGGAATAATTCAACTCAAAAAGGAAAACTGGGCCAAAAATGCTTAAATGGTCTTTGGTTTTTATCCCTGTAATTTAAGGACCTTTATCACTGCAGTTTTGTCTTATACTAAACTTTTCATTAATATTTCATTAGTAGAATTCATGCTGTTTAGCAATGATTTTCCATATGTGAAGGGTCCAGTGACGCTTATGCTTATGTCATTAAATAACATTTCTATAATTAAAATATTTCCTTATATATGACATATTCAAATTTCTGAGAAACATGTTTAAGAATTACATAAAAAATGATCAAATTAACAGAAACAATCAATTGCAGGACATGTATTGATGTGGTTACCAGTTTGAAAACTAAATATCCAGACAAATAATTTGCTGGAACTATTTATGAAAACATCATAATAATGAGAGCAGAGAAAATTTTATTTTAAAAAGCTACAACTGATATCTATTTTAGTTTACAAAATTTAACTACGAAATCATTTAGATTGAGAGGGAGTAAAAAGTTTTTAGAAATAAAAACAAATTGAGACTACATACAAGTCTAAACTTGTGACATCATTTGCAGTAAATTAAGTTGAAGATATAGTTTAAAAAGTGATTGCTAATCGTGTTTCCTCTGTTATATTGTATGAGACAGAGTAAAGTGGGTAAAATCAAATAATTTGATCATTTCAATCCACTGAGAAGTACCTGTATATCATACTGAATATTTTTATGCATATATTTAGATTTGGAATGAAAATTTCAGCTTTAAGAAATGTGATCGTCAGTTAATCATGTAAGCGCCAAGCCTGGATGAAAGAAGGTGAAAGGGCTTGCAGTGGATGTGGGTGTGACTCGACAGCAGCTTTCATTCACAGCATATTTCCTCAACAAAGACTGATCTTTGTTTAAATAGGGGCAGGACATTAGAAATGAGGGAGAGGGTTCTGCAATCCTTTTTAAACTTCACAGATAGTTGGGCTTTCAGTCACCGAACACTTACTTGTTTATGTAAACCAAGTTCAGGCTGCAGCCTTTTATTACTGGTTCAGGTTCTGAGTGGCTTAACCAATCAGAAAATAACAGATGTAGCCATGCCTTTGTCTATTCAAACCTACTGTTAAGGCATATAAGAATATATATATATATATTTAAGAGAAGGGGAGTTGGTGACCCAGACAGTCAAAAGTACTGATGCCTGTCCAAAAGTGGAATGTCCAATAACTGATTACATTATTATTATTATAAAAAATATATTGCCTGGAAGTTACTAAGGAACCGAAATAAATACAAAATAAACCTGCATTTATAAAACCAAAGCCCCTCTGGTTTAATCACATTTAAACTTAATGAATTGGGAGAAAAATACTGAACAAAAATTATTCAGACTGACCTTAGTAGTTTTTCTTTGTCAAGATACCTGAGCTGCTTTGATGAGCTCTGATAGCTCACTGTGAAAAACAGCTGAAACCAGTCTGTTTAGACAAACCAAATCTGTTTAGACAAACATATAAGAAAAATTTACTTTTTGGCTGAAAAAAGCTTTTTTAATTTTCCAATTGGGTCCTCACAAGGAAAACAGATCCCAGCCCTATTTTATTTTACTACCTAAGAAATAAAATATTTTATGTACCCCTTGCGATGCACTTGCGGACCACTAGGGGTACCCCAGTTGGGACTCTGTGCTCTAGAAGATGGTTTCAGGTCTTTTGTTCAGCCAATGTTCATTGCTGTCTTTCATTATTATAGGAATTTTTCCTTTCCACCTGAACTAAAAACTTGGCCTTGTTACTTCCAGGATCTCTTTGTAAAGAACCAAGCTGAGCACTGTTAACTGATCCAAGCTCGGTCCGAACCTAACACGGATCGGCTTCAGAGTAGTGTAAATAGCATAAATGTCTACTTCCAGTTTTATTTAAGCTCTAACCTGCTGATTAACCTAAAATTTGCTTATTTAAACAAAGTTTTATGCTTTGAAAGATGTCTGATTATTCCCAACTTACAAAAAAAAACAAGCAACATATGATGCATTTAATATGGGAAGGTTCTAGCAGGTCACATTTGGTAAATGAAGAGAACAATCTGATTTATTAGTGTTTTGCAAAATATAAATATATGTTTTATATATATTATATTTGATTTTTCTTTTGGCTTTCTATTCAACACACAACCACTCATGTAATCTCAAGGTACTTCACAGACATTTCAATTAGATTATTAACTCTAGAGATGCCCTGATCCGATATGTGGATCAGATAGAAACCTCCAGCAGAAGCAGGCTCAGTATGAGCAGCTTTCTGCTGAGGTCATCTGGGTTCAAGGAAAAAGAAGACTTAGGACACAAGCACTGAACCCAGAGCTTTGTCCAGAAGAGAAACAGGACAGAACACAAAAAGAGAGACCAAACTCTATCATCTATAACGTTGATAGCACTTTAATTTATATGATTATTTTGGTTTTGATGAAAATATCATAGACATTCTCAGGATTATATATAAGAGCCCAGAAGCATCAGCTAAATAAATAGATCTTTATGAAATACTTTTATTCTGTATGGTGTTTTAAAGCAGGGAGATAGCCTCTCCTCATTGGTCTTTGCTTTATGTCTGGAACCTGTAGCAGAAACTATTCGACAAAATGAAAATATAAATGGAGTTTAGACAGATGAATGTGAATATAAATTGGCGCTCTAGGCAGTGTAATGTAATGATAACAATGACAAATGTTGAAAACTCTCTAGAAGATCTTATGAATGAAATTCAACGGTACAGCGATTATTCAGGGTATAAGCTAAATGTACATAAAACTGAAGCAATGTTTATGGGGAAACTAGAAAAGGAGGTAACGAGTAAATACAATCTTAAATGGGATTGTAAAAATCTAAAATACCTAGGGGTACAGATACCAAAAAATTCATGGGAAATTTACTGGATATAAATTATGCCAACTTAATAGAACAAGTCAGGGCGGACTTTAATAGATGGAAGATACTGATTCTCTCAATTTTTGAAAGATTAAAATCAATTAAGATGACAACTGTAGCTACATTTTTATTCCTATTTCAAAACTTACCAAGCTATATACCTCTCAGGTATTTTGAAAATTGGGACAGGTTGCTAAGACAATTTTTATGGGATGATAAAAAACACTGTGTTTAATTAAAAAATCTAAAACTACTGATATCAGGATGAGGACTGGCATTACCAGATCTGGATACATAATTCAAAGCCAAACAAGTTCCTCCATAATAACCTGGATAAGCAAGAGGTTTTAAAGAAATAATGGTTCATGAAAGATTTTGACTTGGGTAGATAACATAAAAAAGGAAAAGTTATTTTTGTTACGGTTTTTGTTGTTGTTGTTTTTTTCAGAAAATCCAACGTAAGAGTGCAGCCATTTATTTTCGGAGCATAATGAACACATGGCTAATCCCCTAAATTATACAACCTGGTTAAAAAAAAGGTACACAGCAGACTTATTACAGTAGGTCACGGTTTGGCCTACCGCAGGCTCAGAGTACAGCATTGCTAAATAGAGTAGGACTATTTGAAAAAAATGTATGATGTTAACAAAAAGGATGCATGAAACTGTAAACTTCCTGAATAATTTATTTACTTTTCATATTTGCTGTATGGAAACTAATGTGAGAAAAGATACAAATGCAGCTTTTGTTTTTATTGAGTTTTATTTTTGTAATTTTATGCCATTTGATTCCTCATAGGGCAGGAAAAGCATTAAAGGTTTACGATTTTCACACTCACCAGTGACAATTCCATAGTTTGGAGCTTCAACAATCGCACCATAAAACTGGATGATGTTGCGGTGACTGAGGACGCTGAGGATTTCCGCCTGAGCAACAGAAAAAAGGACAAATATGATTTATTTTTCTTGTTTTTTTTTTGTCTAAATAATGTGGAGTATAGACAAACTAACTTTAAGGAATCAAACAAGATAAAACATTGACAAAAAAATTCTCACACTAGTACATAAATGTTGATCTGGGGAATCTTACTGATCATACTTTGGTAGGTGGCACATCATAAAGAAGAGCGCAAAAGAATAAACTTTGTCTGCACTGGAATTAGCTGAAAACCAGAAAGGTCCCAAAGAGGTCATGGAAAAGTTTTTTCTTATTTGTAACGAGACGATAAGTCACTAATGCCTACAAAACCTTAGAAAAATGTAAACACCCAATATTCTTCATATTTAGTGCAGATTATGTAAAACATAGAAACATAAAAATTTACTTTATATTGAGACAATGCACGTTAGAAAGTTGGTAATTTGGTATATTCTACAAGCACAGTAGCTGCAATGGGTTATAAAAACCAACAGTTTTTATATTCTCAGTATTTAATGAACAGTCGATATCAGCATAACATGATTCTAACAGCACATCAAATAAACAGTCTACCTCAATATAATAGACGTCTTTGGACCAGCAGATTTAGAAGTCATGGGGTTATTAGTAGAGGCCACATTCGACCCTCTAGATGCCCCATCGTGTTAGTGTCATATCTACTTTGATGCCCAACAACAACTTTTAATTTAGTTTGCTCTCATGTTTTAAGGAAACTCAGAATGCAAAAGCAGCATTCTGGGTCACATGACTCCTTCAGTGACGTATCTGACCCTCTCAAGTTACAAAGGTGAGGTTTTGATGAGAGCAGCATGCACAGAGCATGAACAGCTACCACGTTCTCTACATTAACCTAAAACATACTTAAATATAATGAAATAACTACATTTCTAACTTGTAGCAAGTTAGCTTTGCTCCAGTAATACCTTGTAAATAAATACAAACTAGCAGAGACTTTTTACTTTGCGCTTTAATTTTGGAAACATTTTCCCCCAACTATTGCAATATTTGCCATCTGTTTAAAAGGAACATAAAGATATGTGGCTTTAGCGTCTAATACTAAAGCAAATATGGCCTATGATTTAAACCCGTCTGTCACATATTCTGTGAACTCCTCAAAAACAGTTGTATTAAAACAGCTATGGAAATATCAATTCAACAAGACAGTAACAAGTTATTTAATTCAACGTTGCACTATTCACACACTTTGTCTGCACTACTGAAGATTTCTTCATGTCTGCATGTTTTTTAATTGGAGTTGATTCACGGAACAGGACAACTTTACTAATAAACTCAACAAATAATGATCTGATTACTTGTGATCACTAGTAGATTGTAGAGCGATCAATAGTGAATTCAACTTCCAGCCCAAGATAGGCTAGTTATCAATATTTGTAAAAAAAAAAAAAAAAAAAGCACTGTGATATGCACTGTGTTATTGCAAACATAACTTACTCTTTGCTTGTGCAACAGCAGAATTGACGCAAATCCTATCTAAAGCTGGGGTTCATCTTATAAAACAATCATGCATAGGAATATATACAAAGGTTTAGATACTAAACATGGATTATGTTGAATTTTATTGTTTTTTTCACATCCCACTAGCAAAATAAAGCCACCAAATCCTCAGAATACTTAAAAAATGTTAAAACACTTTAAATGTTGAACAACTTCACATCAGCAATCGTTCTACTTTTACTGTCTAACGAGAGCAGCGAGAGCTGGGATAAGTCTCACCATACTTCCCTGAGTGCTGTCTCACAGGCACAGGCAGCTGCCTTATCCGTAAAGCTTTGCATGCAGTCAGAGCAAAGACAGCAGTTAGGATACCTGCTCAATATATAATGCATGCGTAAAGCTGCCAATGATCCCATCATGGGTTACAAAGATGGATATAAATATGTAGTAACAGTCTTCAATCTAGTCTTTTCTTTTCTCTGAAACTGTTGTACTGAAAAAATTACCACAAAGCTTGAATCACTTAATCATCTTATAGTACATGTGGCTTTATGGAATTGTATACAAATTCATACATTGTTTCTTAAAGTAGTGTTAACATAAGTTGCATTTCTAGGACATTTAAACAACAGTGTATATTATTATTGAGTTTTGTTTCATATAGTCCCATCTGGCCCACTACCCTGCTGTGTATTTTATGAAAAGACACTGTTGTTTTCTTTAACTATCATTAAATCAGGTACATCTTTGATGTTTTAGGTCAGTTAGGCTAACCAAAATAATCTTCAATATCTTAATATAAGGTTTCATACATTTGTGACATTCTATTAGGTGATTTCATAACATTTCAGTTAAAACTATTGGATGTTCATAATTTTAAGGACAGCTCAGACACACTGATTCCTTGTGTCGCATTAAGTGAAAACACAAAGAAATTGACCATAAGAATAGAACTGTGGGTTTCCAGACATTTGGTTCAAGCCTCAGATCCTTGTTTTTTTTTTTGCCTTTTTCGGGTGACTTTCCAGTCGTGCGAGAATTTTTTAATCGGGCCAACTTTCAGCCTGATCGTGCGTCATGTAGTTTACAGGGGGTAACGAGGGCTGACCAGTCTCTGACGACCACCTACTGCTCAGGATTTGTAAGGTCAGGAGAAAATCAAACATGTTTGATTTTCAGTTGACCGTCGTGGGCAAATCGCTCAGTGGGCATCTGCAAACAAGGATTCTTCTTCTTCTCAGATGAAAACGCAGAAGCATGATGGGGGTGCAAGTGAATTGTACTACTTTCTGTAAAATTTACAGGCCGTAGTAGCCACGTTAGCTCAGCCATGTCTTTGTCCAAATACATTGTCGCCTTTTCTTTTTAGGGCTTTCAGCACAAAGTTGCACAAATCTCCATGGCAACACGTTTCACTCTAGTGAGCTTCATATTCCTCTTCTACTGGTTTGGCTTCGGGATAGACGAGTCCGAGTAGCTCCATCTCACTGCAGAGCCAAGTCTGACATGGTTTTCAGACGTAGAGTGTGAGCAGGTAGATCGCATCAAAGCGTCGCTCTGAACATGCATTGTGAGCTGTGAACTCACACTGTACAATGTAACACTGCGGTTTTGTAGCTGAGCTGTAGCTGCGTGCAACGATTGAAAAAATAGCACAGCGCAAGCCCGGCTTAAGGTGATTCCTTAAAAGTATAGAGGATGAACTTTTATTTCCGGGTGGATCATCAAAATAAGTGGTCCTCTTAATTGTCAATCATTCAGGTCATATGTTTATTTAAGGCCGTCCTACCTGCTCGTACCGTTAGCTATCTTTTTCTGCACATGTGCACATTCAGGAGCATAATGGTGAGCTACGGATTCAGACAGTCGTTGAAGCTCACCTTTTTCACTGAGGTTCTTTGAAAATGGTCATGGAGAAAAAGTGTCTACGAAGTGTAAAAGAAGGGCAGATATATCCCTGAATGATCTGCGAGGAAAGCTCTCCTTGCAATACTTTCAGTAAAACCTTTTTAAGTAAGAAAAGATTACTTTTAAGTATTTTCGAATGTATTTTCCATCCTAAAGTGATAAAAGATAACATATATATAGATATATATCTATAGATATATAGATATATTGATATAAAGACCTATTCATGTCTCCTTTTTGCCCAGAAAAGCTTACGTCTGGCTGTTTCTTGAACGAACAGAAACCTGACAGAATGAGTTCATTTAATTGTTATCACAGTCTATAATTAAGGGAACAATTGGTTCAATGTGAAAGGATTACATTATCATTTTCACTGAACAATCATCTCTTTAGCAGCTGAGTGAAGCTGAATGGATATCTGTAATCTCTAAGAGTTTCATAAAAGAAACAATGGGCAATATTCAAACGTTGAAAAGGCCAACAAATGTAAAACAATTTCCAGTGAAAAGATTTCAAAGATAAATCTTTTCTTTTTTTTATTGTCCTCAAGACAACTAGTCTGTGCTTTCAAAGAGATCTCAAGAGCAGTTTTTGCAGTAATTGTGCCAAACACTTTCTTTCCTTTGGCAATAAATGTTTCTTCTTGCAGTACAATTTCTCAGAGTGGGCGAGCATAATGACCATGAGTGATGGGTAAAAAAAGTCACCACATCCAGCTAAATGGGGTAGTAATTAAAATGATTACCACACTGACAATTAAAAAGTATATGAAAGGGCCCCCAGGGCAATTACGTCTCCTACCTCGTTCTCAATCTTCAGCAGTTTCTTCACTGCAACCTCTTTGTCCTGGGAGATCCACCTGGCCCGGTACACACTCCCGAAGCTGCCACCGCCGCAGTTCTCATAGAAGAGGATGTCTTCGAACTTGATGTGTACGAAGGACACCCTGGGAGACGACATCTCATAATGAGGCTCAGCTCTGACTCCGCTTCGGGACAAGGGGATGAGCCCAACCTAATGCTATAAAAAATAAATCAATAAATCAGCTATGATCCAGCTAAAAATAAAAGGCTACTTCTCTGCTTGTATCAGGATGCTGGAGATGATTCAGCCACAGCCTGACTTTTCCTTTTGTGTTTGGGTCAAGTCAGACTACAAGCTGGGATTATGATTATAAACCAATGCAAAAGCAGGGAGGGATTCTCATATTCTCTTTATCTTTCCGAGCTGAGAATGAGCCATCTCTGCTCACGTTGAGGCCAAACATGATTTGTAAACCCATGTAGGGAGATGCCACAGTAGAATCCACACAGATTGATTTTCACCTCCCTTGTTTGTCTGAAACAGCATAAAAGCATCTTGTACCAAAAAAAAAAAAAAAAAAAAAAAAAAAAGAAATAGAAAAAATAATAATAATTCCATCATTACAGGAAATTGTAGCTCTGTTATTATTCCCGGGTTTCCCCATTTACAGCAGAGCAATTACAGCTCTTAAAAGGCTGTTACCTTGGTCTTCATTGGGATTACTATCCATCACAGTGGGAAATGTCTCCATTGTCGCAGAGGGGAGCCGCTGCTTTCTGCTGATTTACTTGTATTCATGCTATACTTAGCTTCAAAGCAATTTGCTCAGTAGCCCAGTTCCCTCCCCACACTCCGGTATTGTCTGACCACTCAAGAAACCAGGGTTACTGGGATATAGTGGCACTCCTCCGGTTATTGATGCCGATTTCTCACCTGACAGCAAACACTGCTTCATTGTGCAATCACATCTGACGGCCATATGGCAAATCCAGGAACAGCCCCCAGTATAAGCAAACAACAGTATAATAAAATTATATATTTATGGATATTAAAATATATGATTTAAAGATGAATTTTAATCAGAATTAAGCATACCTTTAAAGTTGCATCTAACTTTACTGGATGACTAATTTACAATATTGAATTTGAAAAGAAGGATATAAAAGAAAAAAAGAACCAGACAAATATGTCACCTGCAATCAAAGTGAAACTTATGGTTATGGTTTAACTTGAAATGCAATATTAACAGATATTTGTGTTTCATTTCTTTTGGCAGAAATCAAACACAGATTTAATATTTCTATTTCTGCCTGAGTTAGCCAACAATGTCAATATTTTTATATTTACTTTTTTAGTAAAATAAAACATGGATACATACTAAGGACGTCCCGATACAACTTTTTCATTTCTGATACCGATATTGCAGCTTTAAGAATCGGCCGATACTGATATTGACGTGATACGATATTAGCACAAATAATACCAGCTTTCATTGCTTAATTCGTGTAAAGTGAACCTCTGGGTAACAGAAACTTTTAACAGAAGCAGAGTATTTCTATCAGCATGAAAAATATTGGAGATTTTAGATAACGGCTGATAAAATCCAATATTAGCTTTTTGACTAATATCGAATCGGGATATTCCTAATACATACTGTTGATATTCCTATTTTAGTGCATCAAAAATATATATTTTAGATAATTTCACTAATGTGATACAATGAACACCAAAGCTTGTCCCCGTTTGTGCACTACACTTCATCAACAAGATTGATTTTAGTTTTTTAAAGCAAACCATTCATAAACCTTTTCTGCATTCCTAGATGTCTAAAAGACACAACTACGATCCAATTCATGGGACAGGTTTATTGATAAATTATAAAACTGAAATAAAAGAATTATGCCATACCTCATTAACTTCTTAACTGACCTCTTTTCACAGCTGAAAACATAATGTGCACCACATCAAAATATAATACATTATTTACAAGCTCACGGAAAAGGTGGTGTCTGACTTAATATTTTAGAGCTTTTCAAGCTCTGATTTACTGTTATGTGTGATAAAAACCATGTTTTCTATAATTGCAAATGAAAAAACAAAAGAGCAGCCTTTTTTTCCCTGAACGTTCATTTTTATCTAGGAGTAGAGGTGCATTTCTCAGTATAAGAGAGAGACAATAGGTTGTGTTATACAGATCTGCTCTTAAACACAATTGTAGTATTCTATTAATGATAAATAAAGACTGTCTTTAGGTTTGCATATTAGTAATTGATGCTGTTAGCTTTAGCATTCACTGTAAAGTTTCTCAGTTTGGTCAAACTCTTTCCCTATCTGTGACATTTCCAGCAGATAACCAACATCTCAAGCATTTCCCAGGAAATAGAGAATAGAACTAAAAAAAATTATAATCTTAAAGCAACAAGAAAATACATTTTCCTTTTCTACCTTCAAACTGTTTTGTGTTTTTATTCACTTTATTTCATAAGTTACTTTTTGACCTGTTGAAAAAATAAACAGAATTTAAAAGCGCTGTATTACAACTAGTGTTGCACCGATACCGATACCGATACCAGTATCGGCGGTATATTCAACTATTGTGACCCATTCCAGGACGGCAATAAAAAGTTCTACTGGATTCACTTTGTACTTTTGACAAAGCCATGATGGCAATTATTTTACATCCAAGTAGTATGGAGTTCTTCATATATACACACATCAATTTCAAACAGATGGTATCGTTATGGTATCGGTATCGGCCAATACTGCACAGCCAGGTATCGGGGCAAAAACATAGCATCGGCGCAACACTAATTACACTAGGATCATACCAGAATACATTCCTATTCTAATTTATTAAATTATATTTTTGTATGTTAAAATGACCTTTTTGGCTTGTAGCATGTTTTTGAAAGACATTTATCCTATCAAAATAAATTGAAGTCAAACTATTTTTTTATCACTCTGATGATGAAACTAGATCTGTCTTCTCTCAATAACTTCCTCACCGAAGAGTGATCCTAGCACAACTACATTCATTACTTGATCTAGGGTCCATTCATGGCCAATCAGGGCTCTTTAAGCTCAACATTGAATGACTCTGGTCACTATTATTAGTGTAAATTTAATGCTTTTTATTTATTCATATCTGGTGGTTGTGTCTGTGCTGCACAAACATTTAAATCTCACTCAAAGTTATTATTGTTAGCTAAAACTAACAAAACACTGAACACTAGAATAAAAAAAAAACACTGGGTGGGAGTGGTCTAGTGGTCAGGGCATACAGCTTGGAATCCTAAGGTTCTGAGTTGAAGCCCCACTCCCACAGATTGCCACTCTGGGTCTCTGAGCACGACCCTTAACTCCACACTGCTCACCATCCACTGCAGATGGGTTAAAAGCAGAGATACATTTCTCCAGTGTGAGATCAATAAAGTTCAATAATTGTTTATTAAATATAAAAAATAGTTTGCAAGAAAAAAACTAACTAAAATAGTAATAAGAGTTTACAAAACTAATTAAAACTAATCTACTTAGTAATTGTTTTTGTATTTATCATAATGTATTAATATGTTTTTTTTTTTTTGCTTTTTTGCTTGATTGCATTATGACACCAGATGGCAGGTATGACAGTCAGGTCATTTATGTCGCTGGGGTGGTCTGTGCTTAGGGATTTCTGTAATTTTTCTTTTTTTTTTTTGTCCTGCCCCTTGTATGTAAATTGTGTTATATAATAGACCAAAAGCACAACCACAACCAAAACAGAAACGAATACAAACTAAGCATTTTCAAAAAATGCAAACATTGACTGGATAATAAATACTAAACTAGAATGGAAAAATCGGAAGTCAAAACTAAATGAAAATAAAAACTGACATTTCAACATTTCAAAACTATTTAAACCTTAATCTCATAATCTTGAAAAATCACTCACATTTCTTTGTAGATCATTGCTGATTGTACCAAAGATGTGTATCTCTAACTTGTCTCCAACATTTATTATTTGCCTTTTCTGATGAGTCATGAAAAGTCAATGAACAGATGTTTAAGCGATATGTTTAAAATACTGTCAATATAATAGTTGATTTGCTGATAAATCATATTAGAAGCACATTAGTCAATTAACAGAAGTGGGGCCCTGCCACTCATCATGAAGCCCTAGATCATCTCAGGGGCGGAGCTAGATGGGGGGCCAGGGGTGGCCATGGCCACCCCATTGGCCACTTCTACCATTTTTTCCCTTCTAATACAGATGGTGGCAGCAGTAATACTCTCATATATTACTTACTATTTTTTTATGAATTCATAATTTCTTGACAACAAAAACACCGTGGTTAATTATGCACATCAACAGTACTAACATTAAAGATGATAAGTACAGAAATCTTGCTCTTTTCAGATCTAGATTTTGTGTTTTATGGGGTAAAGAGAAAATGATGTGTATCTGCATTCATCTAGGAGTCTTCAGTGAAATCATAGATAAATAAATATTTTAATAAAAATGTAATAAATAATCAATTTATGTAGATATTAGTATTTGTAAATATCAATTTTATGCAGAATGATTACTGATAAAAGTAGGGAAGTAATGACAACGGATGTTTGCCCCAGAACTCAAACATGAAAGTATTTTATCCACTATACCTTTTATCTAGAAAGCATGGATGTTTAAATATATGTGTCTGTTTTAGGCTTGTCCCGATCCGATCCACGTATCGGATCGGACGCCGATATTGGCAAAAAAATGCGTATCGGCAAAGCATGTAAAAATGCCGATCCAGACTAAAAAAAAAAATCTGGTCCGATCCATTCCACTATTTTGCACCAGTGTTCCCCGAATCCGGTCCGCATTTTCCAGAACACCTTCAACACACCCACAGGTCTTTTTGGGTCTGTCTCCCGGCTTAACCATTAAAACAGGTGAATTGGAAGATAGCGGGGAAAATGTCAACCGTGTGGGATTATTTTATCCTTCACGACGTGTAGATGGAGACTAGGTGTGGAGGAGATTGGGGAGTATAAGGCATTTTTGTGTAATAGTTCACTATTATTTGCACTGATTTTTTTTTAAGCAGTGTCTTTTTTCAAGAGTAGAGTCCTGATTCTAAGTTAATAGAATATTTTCCATATTCTGTTTTGCATTTTTATTAAAACTTACAGTAATACTTGCACCTTTAACTGTTTACGGTTTTACTGTTCACTGTGCAATTTCATAATTTTGTCCAGTTTGTGTTTATCTCTTAATAAACAGGTAAGTTTGTTGTTACCAATCATTGTGTTTTATTCAATCTCACCTAATTCAGCTGGCTAGATGTTATCAAGAGTACTAAAACCCTTTTCAACATGAGTCTTACAACTAAGGCTAAATACTTTAACTTAAACTTAAATACAGGTGCTGGTCATAAAATTAGAATATCATGAAAAAGTAGATTGATTTCAGTAATTCCATTTAAAAAGTGAAACTTGTATATTATATTCATACATTACATACAAACTCATATATTTCAGATGTTTATTTTGTTTAATTTTGATGATTACAAATGACAACAAATGAAAATCTCAAATTCATCATATCAGAAAATTAGAATATTACTGAAGACCAATAAAAACAAAGGATTTATAGAAATGTTGGCCAACTGAAAAGTATGAACATGAAAAGTATGAGCATGTACAGCACTCAGTATTTAGTTGGGCCTCCTTTGGCCTGTATTACTGCAGCAATGCGGCGTGGCATGGAGTCGATCAGTCTGTGGCACTGCTCAGGTGTTATGATAGCCCAGGTTGCTCTAATAGTGGCTTTTAGCTCTTCTGAATTGTTGGGTCTGGTGTATTGCATCTTCTTCTTCACAATACCCCATAGATTTTCTATGGGGTTAAGGTCAGGAGAGTTTGCTGGCCAATTAAGAACAGGGATACCATGGTCCTTCAACCAGGTACTGGTAGCTTTGGCACTGTGTGCAGGTGCCAAGTCCTGTTGGAAAATGAAATCTGCATCTCCAAAAAGTTGGTCAGCTGCAGGAAGCATGAAGTGCTCTAAAACTTCCTGGTATGTGGCTGCGTTGACCCTGGACCTCAGAAAACACAATGGACCAACACCAGCAGATGACATGGCACCCCAAACCATCACTGACTGTGGAAACTTTACACTGGACTTCAAGCAACGTGGATGAAGTGCCTCTCTTCTTTTCCTCCAGACTCTGGGACCTTGGAAATGCAAAATTTACTTTCATCAGAGAACATGACTTTGGACCACTCACCAGCAGTCCAGTCCTGTTTCTCTTTAGCCCAGGCAAGACGCTTCTGACGCTGTCTGTGGTTCAAGAGTGGCTTGACACAAGGAATGCGACAGCAGAAACCCATGTCTTTCATACGTCTGTGTGTGGTGGTTCTTGAAGCACTCACTCCAGCTGCAGTCCACTCTTTGTGAATCTCCCCCACATTTTTGAATGGGTTTTGTTTCACAATCCTCTCCAGGGTGCGGTTATCTCTCTTGCTTGTACACTTTTTTCGACCACATCTTTTCCTTCCCTTCGCCTCTCTATTAATGTGCTTGGACACTGAGCTCTGTGAACAGCCAGCCTCTTTAGCGATGACCTTTTGTGTCTTGCCCTCCTTGTGCAAGGTGTCGATGGTCGTCTTTTGGACAACTGTCAAGTCAGCAGTCTTCCCCATGATTGTGTAGCCTATAGAACTAGACTGAAAGACCATTTAAAGGCTTTTGCAGGTGGTTTGAGTTAATTAGCTGATTAGAGTGTGGCACCAGGGGCCATCAATTTTGAACCTTTTCACAATATTCTAATTTTCTGATATGATGAATTTGAGATTTTCATTTGTTGTCATTTGTAATCATCAAAATTAAACAAAATAAACATCTGAAATATATGAGTTTATATGTAATGTATGAATATAATATACAAGTTTCACTTTTTAAATGGAATTACTGAAATCAATCTACTTTTTCATGATATTCTAATTTTATGACCAGCACCTGTACATGTTCGGATAGGCTGGTATCGGCCAGTATCGGTATCGGATCGGAAGTCCAAAAACAATATCGGTATCGGATCAGAAGTGCAAAAACCTGGATCGGGACATCTCTAGTCTGTTTGTTAGCAAACGCTGTAGGAAAGTATAGTTAGTCTTATCTTTCGCTTGACACTATCAGCCACCCCTCAGTGTAAATTGGTTGATGCCTGGCCACCCTTATAAACATTTTCGGGCTACGCCTCTGGATAATCTTGGACTGGCTCTGGTCAAAGAACAGGTAAGAGCTGTGATCAGACCTGAAGAAAGACAGATGGTCTCCAGAATAACTACTGATTGTGATAAATACATACATGCTTCTAACAACACGGAAGTCCCTGTTACTCTATCACGCCCTGATCTCCTGAAACCGCATACCACCACACTTGTCCGTCTCCAGAAACCCGTCCAGGCTGACTTTGCTACAGTATGTTTCCCCGCTGTAGAGGGGGAGAAAGGGGCAATCAGAGGAGGACAGCAGTTATTAGCTCTACATACCGACATTAGTTAGATGTGAGGCGCTGCAGCAGCAGCTCGGTGGTCCTGGACGAGCCGGCCAGCAAAAAAAGTTTATAGAAGAAAACTCCAAGTTGTAGGGAAATCACGTGGGACGCTCTTTCATTTCTGATTTTTTTTTTTTTTTTTTTTTTTTTTCTTGCTTGTTGCGCAACCCGGGCAGAGAGAGCGATTACTGCGGACTGAACAGCCCATTTTCCAGAGAGCAAAGCCATGACATCAGCTCCCTCTGCAGGAGAACCATGGGATAACCTTCCACCTTCTCCATCTGTTAACAGCTGTATAGTAAATTTAGTAGTGGTCAAAGATTATACTCAAGGATACGGAAGAGGATTAGGGCCAGTGAAAAAATAAAAAAAGTTAATTGATTTTTAAATAATATTTCAGTTTAATATGGGAAAAAGTCAGAATTCTGACTTTAATCTCAGGATTCTGACTTTAAACTCAGAATTCTAACTTTTTTCTCAGAAGTCTAACTTTAATCTCAGGATTGTTACTTTAATCTAAGAATTCTGAATTTTTTCTTAGTATTCTGACTTTAATCTCAGAATACTGACTTTTTTCACAGAATTCTGACTTTAATTTCAGAATTGTGGATCTTAATGTAGATAGGCACCATGAAAGAAGAGATGTGGGAGCACTTAACTTCACTGACAAAGAAGTGAGTTGTTTGAGAGGGCCAGTGACACATTGGTGGAAAATGTCAAAGAACATTATTTGTATTTTCAATCACTTAAATTTATGAAGAAGAAAAATGGTATAAAATTATACAATTTTGTAAATAACTGTAAACTGAATGTAAACCCCTAGCTATTATTATTTTATGTTTATTTTATCTATTAATTTGTTTATTTCATTTATTTATTTATTTTTCTTTACCTTCTATGTCTCGTCTTTCTTAAAGTTATACTTTCACCAAATGTTGTATATCTATGCTTGATGTTTGAATAATTTTGTATTGTTACACGGAATTGCCAATAAAGCGCAACAAAAAAAAATGAAAATGAAGGAATTAGGTGACTTTTTACGTGCCTGAGGGGTCCCCGTTGCTATTTTATTAAGGGAAGCGCAGAAAGGTGATTAAAACAAGAGAGCTAGTTTAGTCTCTAAAACAGACATGGCTACAGCTTGATGCTAACATATTTGTTAGCTGTCAGAATTCAGTCAGAATTGTAAGATTAAAGTCAGAATTCTGACTTTTTTTCTCATAGTATACTGAAATTAAACTTAAAAATCAGTTAATTTTTTTTATTTTTTGAGTAGCCCTAATACTCTTCCATACAAGGATAACATTCCGGGTAATATAAAAAAAAATTAAAACTTAAACAAAGTAAGAATTTGTCTATAAAGTTTGTAATCACAACATCTGATTTGTTCAACTGTTTAAATGAGTCAGAAATATATAATTATGTGAAAAGTCTGATATTTCAAATAACAAAAATACATATCTGTGACAAGGCAAAAGCTAATGTAGCTTTTTGAAACAAATGTTTAGATTAATCTAAATGAAAGAGACCCCTGCTATCAACCACAGTGAGTCAGAATATTAAAGCAGAATAAAACAACTAAATAAAAATATGACAAAAAAATGTTTGGTCTCACATCAAAATTATAATTCATTTGCACTCGAATACGTTGTTCCAGTCACTTTCTCTTTGATGATATTTTTAATAAAAGTTAATTTTCAATCCTAAAATAGTTTCAGTTTTAAATAATAAAATGCAGTTTTCATTCAGGTTCACAATTATTAAATACAGTATAATTCTAATGAAATCCACTTTCAAACCAATACATTTAATTTTAAATATTGCATAAGGGCAATTCAAACTCATTTTCTGATATTTAAATTCTGCTTCTGACAGAACAAATTCCTACTTATATGATGAATAATTTATTATGTCCTTACATTATAAATAATTCATCATGTTGGTCATAATTCATCATGGTGAGATACAATAAATTTACTAAGTTCACATGAGCAGAAAGTAAAAAATGTGAAAAAAAAATGAATATTTATTTATTTGATTGTTGGAAGATGGAATCAGAAGTTTGAAAGAATCAACTTGAAATGTTAAATATGTTAATTTTGGATGTGTCACAGACTTCTATGGTTTGGGGCCCCATCAAAGATTATTGTGTCCTGTTTCCAGACAAGGCTGTCAGCTGACCAGTCCTGTAAAAAAAAATGCAATCTCCATGCAGGTAGGACCTCAGCTGACCCCTGACCTTCTTCCTGTAGGGTGACAGCTCTATCAGCTACTACACCACATGCTGCATGAGAACATGTTTTTGAAATAAAACCACGGCAGATGAAAAATACCATTAATAGTTTAAATACATATAAAGATTTATTATTTTTAATTCTTGCCTGATATGGGCAAATATATTTAAAAAGCAAAACATGATAAAAACACAAGAAACACGTTCTGAGATGACAGTGAGATGTTTAGACTTCAATAATTCCTTAAACTACACACAACTTAAGTTGGAATTTGCTAATTTGACAAGCTATGACTAAAATATACTAATAGAACATCAGACACCAACTGCATTACAGTACACAAATACATTGATATTTTATTTTTATATCGCATGTTTGAGGCTTTTAAGGAAAAGCTTGATGAATTAATAATTAAAAGTGAAATAAATATCTGTACATAATTTACAACAAACCTAAACAGGAATAAAAAAGTTTTTTATAAAAATACAAAGAAAAAAAAATACAGGAATACTGAGAGTAAAGCATTAAATTGTGTTTATATCCAAGATTGCAGACATTGATCTAATAAATTAGACCCCCACCAACCAGAAGTCCTCATCTACTATGCCTATTTGGGTTGGATATGATATGATATCTGCATGACACCGATATAAGAGGTACTTCATCTCACAACAATTACAGTTGTTGAAAAATCACAAATGACTGTAATAAAAGGCTCAAGGCGTCGCTGAAACAATATCTCATTATCAGACACCTCATCAGGTCCTCCATGTGATTGCCTGAGTCAGGAGTAAAAATGATACGAGTACGAGTGCCGCATCCCGTCGTGCAGCAGCGTCAGAAATTAAACATTTCTGCCCCCGACTGCTTTCAAGACCTGCGGGGCTCAAGGCTGTGAGAGAGCTGGGATAGGGTCCTTTGGTTGTCGATCACGCTGAGCTGACGCACATAGGTCCAAACGTCCGGGTGGTGCTTCCCAGCCAGAGGGGATTCAGGGCCTGGTTTGATTAAAAATGACGAAAGGGCTAAGAAAAAATCAAAAATATCGAAAACAACAATTCAACAATAGCACTTACTGAATGTTTGACTCCTGCAATATCTCATAGTCTTCACTGTCTTAGCCATCATCCGCTGTAAAACAGTAAACAACAGTCAGCAGTGTGCAATTGCATGAAAACAAAAAAAAGAGAAAGAAATTCACACCAATTGACAGACAATGATCTGCACCTGCTGAGCCTTACCATTTTCTCAAAATTGACCAAATTGTCGATAAATGTTTTGTTGCCCTCGTGAGTGAATGTCATGTCTGTGGGAAATAAAAGGAAAACAAGAGGACAATTGTCGAGAGTTAAAGGTGCTGGAAAACAGGTGCAACCCCAAAGTAATCAAACTGCAATGAGAGTGAACAGCCGACAGGTCAACGGGGCTGACCTTTTATCATCAACGGCATGAAGGGAATGACGGGAGGGTCCAGTTTGGCAACTGTGAGGCGATACGCCCGGTGGTTCCTGGACGGATCCTGTAGAAACATTCAAACTGTCCTAAGATCTTTACTTGATTACTTCAATTGCAAAAACACTCCTGCAATTTTCCTACTTGTCAAAATACAACCATAAACTTTTCAGGTTTTTATGTGTTAAAGATAAACATAAATTTATTGGAAGCCAAATTATATATTGTGTCAGTTTTTCCCTAGGGTAGCTGTGGCTACAGTGTAGTTTTCCACCATCAGTGTGTGAATAAATGCATGAATGACTGAATGTAGAGTCTCCTGACTTGAAAAGGTGTTATACAAGTACAGGGGAGGTTATTTACTACTACAGTTACTGTGCTTTATCTTGAGATTCATGTCATGGCCATTATTATGTTTCATCATAGTGATCAAATGTTTAGAGTGATAAACGATTAACTTTTTTCACTCACAGGCAGCATTTGTATGTACGATCAAAAAGTTTTATTATTTGATGAGCTGCTCTCAAAACCCTGAATTTAATGAAGAAGAAAAATCTGAAAAGTTATTTTTTGTGTTCAGGCCAGTTTACCCCAATCGTTATAATTAAATCTGGTAAAAAAAAAAAAAAAAAAATCTTACCTAAGTTGCCTTAAGTATAATTAAATGTAAGACATTCTCAGTAGAAATTTAGGTGCTCTCCAAAGGCCTCAGAGGTTTGTTAGATAATACACTGCAGACTTCAGGCCAAGGAGCAAGGGTCAGGTATTTAAAATAATATCTGGTGCTTTCATTGACAGACTGCTGCATCCTAAATGCACCAGGTAGCGTTATCACAGATCCTTCCTCCCAGAAGCTGAAAGACTTTATAACCATCCCTGTTCCCAACAACTTCAATAAGTTGTGACATTGAGGCTGATTTTTGCACATTTTCTACCTTAGTCAATTAAATAACATGCTGCTGTCATTTTTTTTTTTTACACATTTCTGGTGTTGCTGATATTGTCAAATATCCATTACTCAAAAAAATTACCACAGCTGTATATTGATTATTCTCCAGATACACAGTATTTATATTGTAAAAACACTATACATTACAGTATTTTATTTGTTTATTTTCTTAACTCATTCTGTTATTTTTATACACTTTTTTGAAGGTCCACATTTATGTGACCACTTCTGCTATAATGTTTTGCTGCTGTAACGCCACAATTTCCCTATTGTGGGACAATAAAGGATTTTCTATTCTATTCTATTCTATTCTATTCTATTCTATTTCTAATCAACATCATATAGAGCACCAAACAGGAGAAGCACATTTCAGTACGCTTTTATATTTAATCCTATAGAATTCACTTTTGACTGTATTTGTTTTCCTTCAAAAAAAAGTTTTATGAATCGATAGACCAAAATCTCATTAATTCAGCAGTAAAACCAAGTGACAGGAA